ACAGTACATACAAATACACTCATACATGCACACATACACTCTATACAATAACATGCTGACATTCATTTGCACAAACACTGCTCAAAAATACAACCCTGCAAGGATGGTAGATCCCCAGCTGGCATAGCATCGCAGGAGTTTTATGAGAGATGGGGATCTATCTTTTCTTTACTCTTGTGCTACAGGGCAGGCCTGAATTTTTTTTTGTTGCACCAAGGCATTCTCTACATTAGTTTCGCCTCTAGGTTGGGGTGGAGGGAGTGATTGCATGCCCAGGGGGCACAAACAGATGCTTGCCCAGGGTCCAATCAATATTAAAGACGGCCCTGCTTGTTGATACACTTGCTAAAGCTTTTGAGGCACTGCAAGCTTGCCTCTGTCTAAATCCACGCACAGCAAAAATAAACAGTGTAGGAGTCTACACAGTATGAAACTAAATAGTTGCAGATTTCTTATGTCTCAATTTCCATGGATCTCACCCATACACAATCACTCTAGATAAATTGTATGGACAATCTGATATACCCATGCATGAATGTTTTTTGGGCTCCCCAAACTTCTATTTTGAGTATTATGAACGTCCCCTTTGCTACACAAATAATTGTACTGTTACAGGAATTAAGAGGTCCTTGAAGCCCTGATGTTCAGAGCCCCATCACAATTATGCCTCACCCAGTGCACAAACCTATCAAACACAACTTTTATTTGGCCGTTTCTGCCTTGGAAAATATCCAAAGATTAAACGGTGTTCTGCAAGATGATATCCAATAATGGTTATTTTTTTATGGTTTTCATTATCAGCTTATTGACATTGATAATGCTATCAACCACGCACGTCATTCGGCAAATATGTGGCTTGAAAGAGCCAATGAAATGACTTTAGAATGTCACTTAAAGCCATATAATGTTCTACCGTTTACATACTTTAAACACTTGCAGTAAGCTGTACTGCAGATGACTTTACGCATAGTTTTACATGGTTTAAGATATATTTGAAGTCCTGATTCTCAGAGCCCCATCGCAATAATGCCTCACCCTTATGGTCGCACCAATGCACGCAGACCTGTCAAACAAAACTTTTATTTGGCGGTTTCCGCCTTGGGAAACATCCAAAGTTTAAACTTTGTTCTGCGATATGAGAGTAATAATATTGGACAACATCCAATAATGGTTATTTTTTTATGGTTTACCTTATCAGTTTATTGACATTGTCAATGCTATCAACCACGCACGTCATTCTGCAAATATGTGGCTTGAAAGAGCCAATTAAATGACTTTAGAATGTCATTTAAAGCCGTATAATGTTCTACCGTTTACATACTTCTAAATACTTGCTGTAAGCTCTAAAACAGAGGACGTTAAGCGCAAGAAGCATTAATGTGATTATTACAAATATGTACATTTTCATATATTCTTTATATTTCCCCCCAATTAAATAGTATGCATGTGAGTAAAATAATAATAATAATAGTAACTAGAAAAGCTACAATTTCTGGGGAAATTGTGTGAAGTGTTCTTACCTCCACCAGTAGTCTACAACTGGAGTGGGCGGAGTAACTGTTATTATTTATTTATATAGCACATTTAATTGCAACATTGATGCCCAAAGTGCTTCACAGTTACATTAAACCATACATTTATAAAAACATTAGCAGGTGTTCAAAAGGCCCTGTCTATGACATCACTTGCTGCTGCAGCCTGACAGGTCAGAGTATTTTGGTGGTTGCCATTTTCAAACGGTCGTATTTTAAAATCTATAAATCCTACAGCGAAGAGCTTTATATTGTGAGACTCACAAGACCCAGACCTACATTTTGATGCACAGTATGTCTCTGAAATATTAAAAATGAGGGCACAATCGCAGTTTAGAAATTGCCCTTCAAATTTTAGCTGGCTAGAGTAAAGTTTCAATGAATGTCAATGGACGGCGTGAGTTGAAAACAAATGGTCATATTGTGAAAACTATCAGGACTATGGCTTAGCCATGGACATTTCTAGTGGCAGCAGGGATAGCTGAACGTTTGGATATAAGATTTGTGTAGGTGGGCTTGAAAATGAGGGAGTGGTGGCAGTTTAGAAATCATGTCCTGATTTTTCAGCTTTTGCCAGCTCCCACTCTAGTTTTGAACATTTTGCCATTCATTCCTATGGGACCAATTTTGCCACAAGTACGACGATATTCCGTGAACCATTCGGTGAAACATTCCACCAAGTAATAGCACACCAATCGGGAACTATCCGCACGTTTCGGTATATTACGGTCTATGTAGTGTAAAAACTGTGGGAGGAGTTAGGGTGGTAAATTTGGCTATAATAATAAATAAATATGTGAGATAACATTTAATGGTCTTGCTATGCAAGAACACTTAATTAAAAAATACTCGCTATGAAATACCTAGATAATGATAATGCTGTAGATTATGCAAACATAGCAGGTTTAGTTTGTTGGGAGTGAGTTATGCTGTTAGCCACTTATTAATTGGTGAAAGGCAGGAGCAACTTAAATGCAGAAAATGACATTTTTCTTTTGATGGTGACATAGAGGCCTGATGTCATTACTCCCTCTAAGAATGTTTAGTGAGAATTCTAGCTATGAAACTGTCAAAGTAATTTAAAGCAGCTCTGTCACGTCTATTGACTTTACATAACTTGCAAAGACCACCAACAGAAACGTCGTTGCTGGGGGTCTTGTGGCTGGCGGATGGGTAGGCAAATGTGCGTTCTACTTACCTGAATCTGTCCCTTGCGGGCGCAGCCATGCTTTTCCGGACGGTCCTTTTCTGCTTTTTGCTAAGCTGCCAGGACCTCGTGCATGTGTGAGAGTACAGCAGAGAGGTCTATGGAGGATCCCGCTAGACCATGGAATCCCCCATAGATAGAGCAAATTTCCGTGCAGTCGTCACTCGTGATGCTTGAGGGAATGACAACTCTTGATGGCGGTAGCGCTGTCCAGTGTCAAGAAGTGGTAGGAAAAATACTGAGACAAAATAGTCCCTACTTTTTCTCACTAAATCTCTTGACTGGATTGGAATTTCAGCTGGGGGTGACAGTGCCCCTTGAAGAACCACTATCTGCCATTTGCAGAACTAAGGTATGGTTTGTTCTGAAGCTCCTTTTATCGCTTTCAGTGATGGTTTGCTCACAAATATTCTTAGAGGGAACACTATTTTATAACTACAATTCTAAAACATTTCATTACATGATACATTTCACCAATTATTTTTAGATTTAATAAAAAGGTCATATCTGTTAAAAGTGGTTGTGCATTAATTTTCAGCTTTTCATATTAACTAAACCTCTTATTCTACATCTGTGATGGGAATTCTTGTGTACGAATGACAGAGCAACCTTTTTCTTTATTCTGTTTTAGTCTGCTTGTTCCCTGTCAACAGTTAATTTACACTGTCAAATTTTTGAGAACGCGCACTCTATAAAATGCCTACAATTTGCCTTTTTAGGTCTCTCCAACAGTGTGTCAGGGTAAATGAGGAAGTAATCCCTATCTGCAGAGTACAACATTATAGATTAAGTATTACCAGGCCTTAGAGTGACTGGGTTTAAATTAAAGAAACATACCATAAAGAGTAGCAGAAGAGGAGACCAGAAAATGAGCCTCAGTCAGGAAACCAGAGAGTAACTTAGACTAGCCAAGGTCCGAGGCAGGCAGTAAACAGGGAGAACTACCAACGAACCATGTCAAAAACAGAAAAATCAGAAAAGAAGCACAAAGGAATCACAAGCACTGAATCGAGCAAGGGCCACTACTGGCAGTGCACAGAACGCAGGGTTTAAATAGGTTGGCCCTGAAACTGAAGTCAATTACCCAAATGGCAAATCGAGAACAAATAAGATAAAGGGAACTCCTAGCGGTCCGCAAGAGAAACGCTAGTAACACATAGACGACATGTGAGTATCTGACACATTGCAATCATTTTACAGATGACCCTTTTGTTTTGGTCTGTGTATATTAAGTCTTTTTTTTCCCAGTTGCACAGCGCTGTGGATTATGTTAAAGAGTTGTAAAAGTCAGTAATAATACAGACTACAGAAATGTGCAAACAGTCACAAACAAGACAAAACGCAGCTTCTCTAAACAGGCAGAGGAAGCAGTCACATGCTTTAGAGAGCAATGTTATTAGGTTTGATTCACTTATCCATTTTCCTTCAGTTCACCTCACTCACTTTTCGAACAGTTTTTATATTGTGTTTTAATGTAATTAAGGTTTTGTAAGATTTTATATTGTTTATATAGGTATGGCCTACCTTTTATTTTACCTGCATGGTCATTGTATTAAGTATTTCCACTCCCCATTCTGTTTATATTACTCTCAGTTACTATTATAATATTTAAAAAGGACTTCCATGCTTTCATATAAACATTCTTGTATAGGTTAAAGATGAGATGTTACCATACCTCACAACTGTCCCTATTTAGTTGGGGCAGTCCCTATTTTGTACCAAAATCCCTCCTTCCCTCTTTTCTATCCAAATGTCCCTCTTTTCTAGAAGCTCAATGCTAATTGTGTGTCTTTAGTTTATAACAGAGCTCTACAGCAATAATACTCACAGTAATGTGCCTTTAAATGACAATAATTGTGTTTAGAAATAGTCCGTGAAATAAGGTACATTGTTCTTGTTCTAAATTACATTTTAGTTGCAAGAATTGCTTTTAAAAACTCACCTAAACTTTCTCAGAACTGCCACACCCCCTGTTACACCCATAAAGTGACTGTGTCCCTCTTTGTCCATTTAAAGGTATGCATTACTAAGAATTTCCCTTGAAGAATACACTCCAGAAAGTACAACTGAGCATGTCTAATCAAAGGAGATAACAATGATCTGAGATTCCTCGGGAAACAAATACATACCGGACAAGTCTATGTTTCTAAATCGTGACATTACACCCCTCTTCCCTCCCCCTCCCCCCCCGAATCTGCCCCCACCCCAAAAAAAATGACTAGGTTGAACATCAAAAGTTTTATTTTAAATTATCATCATGTCATATTAATTAAGAGAGAGAGAAAAAAAGACCACTCCCTGCAAGATTAAGGTTAGCTTTAAAAAAAAAAAAAAAAAACACAATACCTTCTTTGGAATGGTATAACAATATAATATTTTAAAACAATTTAAGTGAAAATGAAAATTCTCATTGGATGGATACATAATTCTATATTTTAATTTTCTTTTCTTTTTTTCGAAGTCCAGCTTTTTTGTGATGACGTTGTTCTCAGTATTGAAGAATAAATAAAGTTAAAAAAAAAAAAATCACAAAAACCTGAACCTCTTGAACAGGATTATTGATTAAAATGAGAATTTAAAGTGAATTTCAAAGTCAACTTAAAAATAGCCGAGCTGCAAACATTCTTTACGTCAGAGTTGCTTCCAGTTGCTTCAAATTAACTTAGAATTCTCACTTTTGTGAATAACCCGGTAAGTGTTTTGATTTAACTGATTTGACCTTTATCCTGTCTGGTTCAAAGATACCATTCCAGCAGCCATTGTCTACAAATGTAATCACCCTCAGTCGGTCCTTGGGAAATTGAACCTACAACATACGGGATGATGACAGAGGAGTGTTAGACCAACAAAACCTAGAGCACGTGAAGTGGCCCAAACCTGGAAATTATTTTATAATAATAGTATGGCATATGCATCTGTTGTGGTGTGATAAAGCACATCTTGGCATTATGGACATTCTTCTGGCAAACATAGCCTGCCACTTTAATTTATAAACAATTATAGCCGGTTGCTAGTTCAGTGCAGCCATTGAGTTCGTAAAATCAGATGTTAAGGTGGCCATTTTTTCTCAATTCCTTTTGACTTTCTTGCCATAGGTGTAGGTGCTTCCGTACTCCCTTTTAAAACATTTTGGTTTATCTCACCGTTCAGCACAGAGGTGGTTTGGTCTGTAGGATGGTGTGTGTCATGGGGATTTTGAGTTTTATCTGAGCTGCTCTGAGTCTTTAGGAAACCCAACTTTTGCAGAGCCTCCAGTCGGGCAGATTTTGGATTAGATTCAATCAGCATTGGCAGTTTAGGAGCCCCAGGTAATTCTAGGCCCTTGGAATTATCTTCAGCAGATGATTTGCTTTGCTGGTGAATGAAGAGTGCCCTCAATTCCTGCACATTTACACCTGACTTCATTATTGTATCAAACTTCCGCATGTGACTTGGGTGGGAGCCTGTTGACCTTTTCCCTGTCTCCGGAGAAACAGTGATTGAGAAACCTGGAACATCTTCAGATAAAGACTTCATGATCTTCATTTTTGAAGAAGATGCTCCAGGTTCGGTTTTATCGGACACATTGATACTTGCACCCAGACGCCTTAGGTTTTGATCTAACATTTCTGTGCCTGGATCTGTTGCATTGCCAAAGTGTTCACCATTTTCTGTTAAGAAAGACAGAGTAACAATTTAATGGTAGGAAACTCTATTATGGAATGCGTAGCTTAGGTTAATATATGTTACACATACAACATCAGAAGCAGAAGGCTTTACACCCAAACATTTACTGGGTGACTGTGCTTCTGAGTGTATATCCGGCTAAAGGGAGGGAGATTAGACTCTGATGGGTGTGTTCAGTCTTTAAATTATACAAGAGGACAGATGATGGGACTTAGTAGAGGATATAATTAGAAAGGACAGGGGGGAAAAACCCAACAGAGTAACATGGAAAACAGAATTATTAAACTGGTTGAGGGACATGATACAGGAGGAGCTACCTTTAGAAAGACATGTTTTAAATTTATCCTATATTATGTTAACATTTTTTTTGTTAGACAGCATAAGTAGAATAAGTATATAGATTGTAGAAGTCAGCATTCATTTAAACAGCAACAAAAAAATATAATCTGAAATTTTGTCATTTTATAACCTCTCATTAATATAAGCAGGAGGTTATTCTGCATCCAACACCTGCTACTTAAAAGAAAAAAAAAGAAAGAAACACTAATTAGTTCCATCCTTAAAAATGTTCCACCTGAGTATTCAAATAATGCCTGTACCATCTGCTGCCTAGTGAGGGCTGTCTTTTGTTACCAACCTAAGCAATTGCCTTAAAGTCGAATACCTTTTATTGTTTGTCTTCAGGTGAATAATGTGGCAACATCCTCCAGAAGAGACAAGTTAGACTTTCATTATTCAGAACATTAAGTTGAAACCTTTAGCAGTGCTTCAGTAAAAGCCATTTTCTATTCTGTGTATCTGCCAGTTTTACAGATTCTCCTTGAGGCTTTAGTTTGACAGCAAGTCCTTTAATAAAAGGCTTATCAAGGTCAGTGATCTTGTTCGCATGGGAGGGGGGAATGAGATAGCAGTGGAAGGTTTCAGTTTGTTAAAGGGGAATTCTAATCTTTTTGTTTCCCTTTTTATATTACAGGGTTATTTTAACCACCAATCTGTGATTTGAAGTGGTCATGGTGGCAGGAGTCAGTATGTGCAGTGTTTCTGCTTATAACAGTAACAGTGCATATACAGAGTTAATTTTAATAGTGTGCTGGGAGCTGGTTGCACCCCCAACACACATGACTTGGGCAGCCAGGAACTTAGTTCCAGGCTGCCTAATGTCAATTCTGTGCATATTTTGCATCTGTCGCTAGTGGCCAAAGTGATCATTTTCTCCCTTGCAGACAGAGTGCCTGCAAGGTGAAGATAGTTTTCACCTCCTTCCCACCATGTGGGTGCTCCCTCCTGCATTCATCTGCCACTTGTATTGCCTTTATTTTTTTTATTAATTACTCCTCCAATCCTACCTCTCCCCTTCCCCAACGGTTCATTTCTGCACGCATGCGTTCTAAGCCGGGTGAAATGTTTTAATCTTCTTTATGAGAAACCTGTGATTATACCATGTGAGGCCCATTTGATCCTAGGACGTGGCATGGAAGTAAAATGAAATGAAACTTCTCATTCACAAATGTGTAGATGAAAAGTCCAACATCAGGTACATTGTAACACTTCATTTATAAGAATGGAATGTTCCTTCAGCTGAGCGCTTACAAGATGGCTGCCAATGAAAATGCTTTGGGTGGCATCTTCCAAACCTTAGCCTGAGGAACATGCAGAGTATCATAGCATGCTTCCCTTTCCTTTTGGTAGCTAGCCTATTTGCGCATGCCACTTTAGTTACCGTATTCATGGTTTCTAAATGTAAAAGAGAATGTAATCTATATCACTTTTTATTTGCATGTTACATTACTGAATAAAACATTGAATATCATCTGTAACTTGTGTTAAATTCTTTCATGTGATACTCAATTTTCTTTTAAATCTATATTAAATATTTACTAGTTGACATAAAAATGTCAGCACTAAGCCAAGGTACACATTGGGTTGGATATGGGGAAACAGAAACGTCACTTCTGTTTCTTCTCCTCTGCTTCCTTTGTTTAATGAAAGAGAAGTTAGAGCTTAAAACGAGGGTTTATGGGGAGCTAAGATGGAGGCACTCTGTTCTGGGGTATAAATGTTGTACAGCTGTATGTGAGGGCTGAGTCTAGAAATCCAAACACATATTTACTAAACATAGTAGACGAGTAGACAATGTAATAACTGCATTAGAAAACAAATTATATGTTCGCGGGACTATTTGTTTTATCGGTTTGCGTAACACCACTGTAAGACAAATTAATGAAATAGCAATAGTCTGAAATACATTTTTTATCTTTACGTAGCACCAGTTAAGTTGAGAATGGTGTGTTTATGTCCGTGCTATCCCACAAAGAGGAATATACAAGCCCACCGTACTAAGCTTCCAGCAGTGTGCAAGGCATTCTGGGATTGTATCGATTCAAACCAATTAAGCTTATTTTTTTCTGTAGCACAATGCACAGATTAAATGTTAATGCATACCTTAAGCAGACCTTGTTATCCACATATCTAAAAGAGAATAATATATATAGAGAGAGAAAGAGATATAAAATATTAAATACACCATGACCCTGGCATTTACCTTGAACAACATTAGCATTTTCATCATCGTCTTCAGCTTCTAGTGAGTTAATGGTTTCCAGAAGGTACTGAAGACATTCTTTCTCTTCATCGGTGAGGCGACAGAAGAAGTCCTCGCTCTAAAACAGAGAAGGTATGTAGCATTAGGACATGATAGCCAACATGCAAATCTACGGGATGACTAACCATCATTGTCATTCTAGTTCAAAGCTGTGAGCTGCTTCGGGGTCCAAAAGCAAAACACAATGACGGATAATTATCAAAGTGTTCTGTAACGTGACGGTTTTGTCCATATTAAATTCTGCCAGTTTATGCGGAAATTTCCATTTCACGAGAATGGCAAATATGGACAAGCTTCAACAGGTTGCAGTATCTTACAAATATAAAATTATCAAAGTAGCCTTATGCACATCTCAAATAATATTTTAATTCATTTGTTGCATTAGCCTATACTATTTCCACTCCGTAGCTGTATGTACAAAACCACTGAGCAGTGAAATCTGCCTAGATAGAACGTCAGAAATTGTGCTATGAAAATCTCTTACTGAAATGACAAACTCCAGGTAATCTAGATATGGATTTGAGATACCGAATATATTTTAGTATTTGTAGACTGCCTAAGAAGAAATTCTAGGATTTTGAAGGTATGGAGTGAAATGATCTACCAGCTAAAACCAAAGACTTTTTTTCTGAATCTGAGTGATTTGGTATTATTAAGCAAACACGCCAAGTACCATAACCACTACAGCTTGTTAAAATGGTTATGGTACTAGGAGTGCCTGATGTCCTTCATTTGGAAGTTGCCAATCGTGTTGGAATGCTTTAGCTTCTTATCTGGAGCAGCTCTCTGCTTCCAATACACAGTTTCCAGTGGAGCAGGGCTTAATGTATTGGCTGAGCGCGTTCATCTGATGCGATCTACCAGTTGAGCCAACTCTGCATTGCAGGACTTAGCTAAGAAGAGCTAACAGAAACCCCAAACAGGAGTTACCAGCTCACACTTACGCCTGAAATGAGGTGGACTACAGAAATCAAGGTTTTTTTAAAAAAGGGTTGAATACTTATAATGGGGAGACGCAAAGCCACTACTGGCATGATAACAACTTCTGTGTTCTGTGATGATTATGGTGTTTGGAGTGTACCGTTAAACATTATAATAAATAACTAATGTGGTATTGCTGGACAATTTAAACCACGATTACTGTAAAAAGTTGTTATGACATATATTCCATGAAGCTCTAGCAGTATGTTTAAATCCTTGCAAAATGACAGTTACATTTCACTGATATAATATGGAATACAGAATATAAGATATGTATAGTCATATTTGACATGTATAGTGGTCAGCATGCACATTGCTAGAATTTCAGAATTCCATTACAATATTCTGGTAAAGACCCTGAGATATATCTATTTAGATCTGTGAAATAAGATCTTGTGATACATGTAACATATCACGTGATATGGGATTTGTTGGTGCTATTTAAATAGCTCAAAAACCACAAACAAAACACATCACATTTTTCAAAACGTGATTAAAATAAAACACCTTTATAAATGAATCATTAAAAAAAAACAAAAAAAAACAACATCTTTGTCTTTATAACTGTTGGTGTAAGAAGGCCACATTGCATGCTAGTTTATCCTGTAATGGTAAGGGAATGATTTTAGCAGTAGCCATTTTCACCAAGCCAAAACAGGAACAATTGCAGATGAAAAATGGTAAATAAGAAAAAATCACCATGGAAACTAATAGAACTTTCCTTAATATTTAGTTAAACATTTAATAAGGTCAAAGCTAAATAAATGGAAAAAGCAAAAACAATAAAAAAAAACATGAATTGGTAAAACCATTTATGTAAATTAAATACAATATAATACAATAAATAAAATTACATTAGTAAAAGAAAGAATGACAGCAGAGTAGGATTGTCCAACAATTATTTTACCCCAGCCTGCTTATAAATACTTTTATAGCCAGTGATGTTTGCAGTGAGATTAGTAACATGTTTATAATGTCACCCGATTGGTTTAGCACAAACTGCATTTAAAGGGACACTATAGTCACCTGAACAACTTTAGCTTAATTAAGCAGTTTTGGTGTATAGAACATGCCCCTGCAGCCTCACTGCTCAATCCCCTGCCATTTAGGAGTTAAATCCCTTTGTTTATGAACCCTAGTCACACCTCCCTGCATGTGACTTTCACAGCCTTCCATAAACACTTCCTGTAAAGAGAGCCCTATTTAGGCTTTCTTTATTTCAAGTTCTGTTCAATTAAGATTTTCTTATCCCCTGCTATGTTAATAGCTTGCTAGACCCTGCAAGAGCCTCCTATATGTGATTAAAGTTCAATTTAGAGATTGAGATACAATTATTTAAGGTAAATTACATCAGTTTTTTTCATGCAGGCTCTGTCAATCATAGCCGGGGGTGTGTGGCTAGGGCTGCATAAACAGAAACAAAGTGATTTAACTCCTAAATGACAGTGAATTGAGCAGTGAAATTGCAGGGGAATGATCTATACACTAAAACTGCTTTATTTAGCTAAAGTAATTTAGGTGACTATAGTGTTCCTTTAACATACAACTCCAGGCACTGTAACCATCATCATTCCCAGACAATGTAAGGTAGGTTTAACCATCATATATGTCCTACAATTTGAATATTACATTATTTCCATGTACAGCGTGCAAACAAAAACCTCCGTCACAAACTGTTGACCTTGTTTATTTAATGTATTCACTGAGCTAGCCAATAAAAAGTATGACGCTTACTCTTGTCCTCTCCTTCACAGTACACAACTTTTGATCACCTGGGTACAACCTTCCATGATTGTCAAACAACACTTTCTAAAATGTCTAAGGATGTCGAGCAGGGAGGATTAGATTTAAATCAAGGCAATTTACATCGCTAGTCAGTAATAGTCGATTTAAGTTATGATTTTTAAATGTAAAGACTCATTCATGCTGGTAGTTATAATCTTTAATATTTGTAACCAGATGAAGATTTCATATTTAGAATATTAACCTATCAGATTAGTAAAACATCTATATCCAAACTGATTTTAGTTTAATAGGTTAATCACTCATGTTTGGAACACTATTTAAATTGTTTTATTTAACTAATTTATGCTTATTATATATTTTTTATTGTATTCACTCAGTCCAGCCTGATAATTATTATTTGCTTATTTCAACTCGTTTCTTTTTAGCAACTGTATAACAATGCTGTGTCATGCAGTAACAATAACTAACATATATTATTGCTCAATCATGACAATACCTCATGGCAGTCTTTTAAAAGAATCTGGTGCAATTAAAACATGTTATCATCCTAAAGGCCTTGCCTATTCACACATGTTCCTTTCATCACAGCACTTCATGTGATGTTGTATCAATTGGGCCCCCAGGCCTTTCATCTCTTTGTTGCATTGCTTGCATTTTGCACTCATTCCTACTTTACCCATAGGTAGAGGAACTTCATTAGAATATTTCCAAACTTTGTTTCTTTTATCACCTGCTGCCATTTTGCTCCTCAAAGGAGGGAATAAAGAACTTCAAGCTATGAACACAAACACCCCAAGGTTTGTAAGCTGCTCAGAAGGGATCGAATTAGATTACTAAAAATGTAAATATTGCATGAATATACAGCCTCATACTGCATCACTAAGCGCTAGTTCATGCTGATTAACCTTTGAACTATAATGTATCTTAATTAGAAAACTATCTTTAGATACATTTTTCATCAAAAAGCATTTCAGTAAAATAAGTTTGATTTCAATCAAAAATATCCGATTTCAGTAAAAAATATTTTTAAAAAAATCAGATAAAAATAAAATAAAAATCAAGCAGCGATTTTAATCTACATTGAGCCAGGCATGAAACTTCAGCACTGGTTCATGGGCATTTCCTCCCCATGAAAATGTTTCTACAAAGTGCTAATTTTATATCTACATGAATGTATATATAAACAATACCTCTAGAGTGCTTTCTATATTTGAAGCCTCCTTCTTCTGCACAGGTCCATCCATCACTCTGGACTCCAGGTCGAAGATACAGAGAAGACCTTATTTGTAAGAAGCCCAGGGATTTATGACTTGTTCATACACCTGCAAAGCAAACATGTGACAAAGTTAATCTGCAACATGTTTAAGAGCTTTGTTTCATTGTTTACAGTATTTTTTTTTCTGAAATGAGTATTATTTACCAAGAAAGAATTGGCGTTCCAGTTCACTTTTTATCGTCATTTTTCCTAACACCTTTGGCAGGGTTCTATAATAAACAGAATCATTGTTTTTGCTACGTGCTGAATTGTACATAGAGCAGGTTGGGCTGTGACACAAATTTCGATACAAGGTCAATTGACTATAGTCTCTAGCATAAAGACAAAAAATGTTTTCCCATATTGTGGAGCCTGAGTTCACAAGATCTAAAAGGTTTATTTATTTTCGAAACAGGTTAGTTGGATAAAACTCAGAAACTGAAGCCAACTGAGTTCAAGCAGAACCGGGCAGCTTTAACTTACAAAGGTTTTGAGGTTTCACGAGAACTCTGCAGGAACCACAAACTTAATAGAGGTTAAGCGTTCACTAAAGTCATCTGCATGCTTAAACGCCACGTAGACTTACATTTTTACATTTCTTTGTTTTAACCAACCTTGATAAAAAAAATAAATAAAAAAAAACAGGACAATGAGTGGTCATAGGGAAATGGGGTACTTAATTTTCTATTCTTCAACTTTCTTTTTTAAATAGTTCAATGGTTACTCTAACCCTTTTTCATTATACGTTTTGTTTCGTTTTTTTAAATTAGAATGCCATAATAAGCACTCATCATTTGGTCCATCACCTTTATTTTTCCTGAAAAACCTTTAAATAATAAATATAAATTAAATAAGCTTTAACTTACCTGGAATTGAGCACAGCATGAAGCTCTCCTTGATGCGTTCCATGCCCCATCGGTCATTACTGCATCCCTTTCCAATGTCCAATCAAATGCTTCTCATAGAGAAACTCTTAATTAGACCGATCTCATAGTAGGGAGAGGTTGTACAGGCTTCTTCTTGCAGGTGTGCCATAATCACTGCCTGCAAGGGTAAAAGCTTATAATGTCTGTTCACGGCTGCCTAATTTAAATTCTGTGCAACATTTACATTGAGTTCCATGCTTCCTAATTTACATGTACCGGGTATATAACTAGCCCCAAGCACAAAAGTGCAGACTACTCTATATAAGTGGTGTTTATGCTTCCTTGCATAAACCCTTTAATTTGTAAATATAGCTCAATTTTGGTATTCTGAATACGAGTTGCCAGCAATTTTCCATAAGTTGAGAAACGCAAGAATTCTTGCAATGCTTTTTTAAATATTTTTTTTTTATATTCTTTATTTTTGTAGTGCAAAAAAGATTTACAAACAATCCTGCAGTGCCACGACAGCAGAAGCAGTTGGATCACAATATACAGTTTCACAACATTTAGCTGCACAATTTTGTACAATAAGTAACAGGGTAATGCAAGTCCTGTCCAAAGACATAGGTGTGAAATAGTGGGGGTAGCCTGTGGCATCGCGGCTGCAAGATTGCTGCATTTAGAGCCCTAAAGCAACCCGTTATTCTGCTGGGGGCCAACCGTAAGGAAAGCCGCTGTATGGGTGACAGCAGAACATCTGCACATTGAGTATAAATTGGTGGGTAGGCCAGCTAGGTTATTACTGTGAGTATGTATATCACTAATGGTGAGCTATGGCCTTTAGCGCTTGATATTTTTTGTACTTACAGTGGTACGGCTGGAGCCTATAGTGTCACACACCACAACAACTTGTGACACCCACAGTTGCAAACACACATTAAGGATGTGTCGTTAAGGCACTCGCTGCATGTGTGACTCTTGGGTGCCCACCAGTATCACTCTCAGTGTTAGCCTGAATAATAAAATAACTATAATAAACTAATAAATGATAATAATACAATAAAACCATAGTGTGATAACAAAGTCCCAGGTTTTATTTGGCTCGTATGGGATTAAAGTAAGGCAATCTAGGCACTTGGTGTAGGTTGGTATTATAGGGGTGGTAAGTCCATATGTTGGCCCTGGTTGACCTGTTGTGGGTGCCTGCCTGGTCCCCTTGCCATTCCACCGCAACTGGGGAACCTCCAGTCTGGAGAGTCCTATGAGGGGTCCTGCCGCTCCAGGGGCCGCGTATCACCAGCAGACCGAGGCCCGCGTTTCTGTCTCGAGCCAGGGTTCACTGCTGTCTGGGCCACTGCCACTTGCTGCTCTGAAGGAGGTGGTGTTAATAGGTGGAGGCCCTGCAGAAACTCTGTGTGGTCCTCGGAGGCCGACAGAGTGTGCACTGTATCCCCATGTGGCACCACCAGGGTTCCCGACATCCCCCATTGGTACCTGATTCCTTGGTCTCGGGTAATGGGCGCGAACTTGCGCCGGTCAAGGAGGACCGCAAAGGGTAAGTCATCGTATACGGAGATCTTGTTCTTGGCAATTAGCAGGCTTGGTTGTTGCCTGGATCGAGCCATGATGGAGGATTTCACGGTAATGTCTCTAGTGACAGCTATAATGTCCCGTGGTGCGTCCGCAGGTGCCGTAGGAGCCTTTCGGACCCTAAAAACCCACACAAAGGGTGGCATTTCGCCGTCTTCCTTAACCCCGAGTGCTTGCAGAACTTAGCGGACGAAACCTAGCAAGGCTTCTTGGCCTACTGTTTCTGGGGCCCTGCGGATCCTAATATTCCTCCGTCGGTGCCGTGCCTCCAGGGAAGTCACTGTGCGGGAGAGGCGCTGTACTTGTTGGGTAAGTGTGTCCATGCGGGAGCTGGTGTCGTCCAGTATTTTTCCCTCTCCTCTTCCCTGGACTCGACAGCAAGTGACACATTAATGGATGTTTCTATTTCTTACGAGGCATGGTAGTGGAATTTAACATTAATTAATTATAGTTCTGCTTGGAACAATCAGTTATGAAGGAAAGGCACCCCATTACACATTTACCAATCATGCTGATTTCTTTTATAACACAGCAGAGAATAGACAGAGACGTGGTGTAGGTCCAGCGTACTTTTCATGTACCATTGCATACAAATCTTAAAATTTAATTCTTAAACCAGAACTTTAATACATGAGTGTATAATGTGAAATTATTATTTTCCCAGTGTGTTCTGGAAATGGCAGATTCACTTACGTAGCGAGTAGAAATCAAGTATCTTATAGTGTCTAGTTTGACACCAAGCGTTTTAAATGGGGTCAGAAGAATTTAGGTATTTTTGACATATATGAATGTTTTTAGGAAATGCTTCAAGCTTTCAATTCTTTTTTGCAATGAACTTATAAGCGGGATATCTTTGATCTATTTATTTTCCCTGAGATGGCCGATTGAACTTTGGGGAAATGGCAAGATTAAAATTTTTACAAATTGCGAACCTTTCCATCATAGGCGTGCGCAGCCAATTGCATTAGGGTGTGCACCCTAAAGCACAAACACACGCCACGCGCGTGTGTATCTCTCTCTCTCTCTCTCTCTCTCTCTCTCTCTCTCTCTCTCTCTCTCTCTCTCTCTATATATATATATATATATATATATAAACACACACACACACACACTGCTGTGTGTGCTGTTAGTGTGCTGTGTGCTGTTAGTGTTATGTGTGTGTGAGGGTGCGTGTTTGTGACTGTGCTGTTTGTGTGTGAGGGTGTTTGTGTGTGTATGTTTGTCCTGTGAGGGTGCTATTTGTGAGGGTGCTGTTAGTGTGCTGTGTGTGTGTTTTTTTTTAAAGGTGCTGTGTGTGTTTGTGAGGGTGCGGTTAGTGTACTGTCGCTCAGATATCGCGAGAGGAACCTGGCGGAGCTTCTGTCTAGAGCTCCCTGGGTCCTCTACTGCCTCCCTCCAAGCTGCTGTGGGCCGGTGAGGTAGATCTTTGGTCTCCCCGCCGGCCCATGAAGGCTTAGAGCGGAGCCGGCACTCAGATAGCGCCGGCTCTGCGTGTGTATGTGTGTATGTGTGTATATATATATGTGTATATATATATATATATATATATATGTGTATATATATATGTACACACACACACACTGACAGACACACACACATACATACTCACAGACACACACACATACATACTCACAGACACACACTCACAGAAACACACACACACTCACAGAAACACACACACACATACTCAGACACACACACACTGACACACACACACTGACACACACACATACTCACAGACACACTGACACACACACATACATACTCACAGACACACACACATACATACTCACAGACACACACTCACAGAAACACACACACACTCACAGAAACACACACACACACACAGACACACACACATACTCACAGACACACACACATACTCACAGACACACACATATACTCACACACACTCACAGACACACACACTGACACACACACACACACATTATTATATATATATTTTTTTTTTTTAAATGTCCACCCAGCCTCCTACCTGGAGTGCTGGTGGACTTGTCCCTGGGGTCCAGTGGGGGCAGGCGCCTTTCTCCAGTTCAGCCGCGGCGTGGGAGCTCTCTGCTCTCTGCTCCCTCTCGCCGCGCGGGCTGTCTGCTGGAGCTGGGAGCCGGAATATGACGTCATATTCCGGCTTCCGGCATCAGCGCGCGGCGAGAGAGAGCAGAGAGCAGAGAGCTCCCTCGCCGCGGCTGAACTGCGGGGAGGGGGGGGAGGGGGGGGCGGGGGGGTAATCCATCACCTCTTGCCCCCCCCTCCCCCATGACAGGGGCAAGAGGTGAGACAGGGGGGCGCTGAGTGCCTGCAGGACTCAAGCCATAGGCGTGCCATGGGGATTAGGGTGTGCCCCGGCACACCCCGTGCGCACGCCTATGCTTTCCATATCATTGTCTTGGACAATGCTGCCGATAAGACGTAGATGAATTTATATTTGTATTCTGCAATTGCTCAAAACAGATTATTTCACAACTACTGTAACAAAATAGCAAAGTAAGTGACTACATCTATATATATATATATATATCACTATATAGAGTGTGAGGTAGAGGCAGGGTACCTGCCTGCACTGATTATTGACGTAAATAACAAAGATTAGACTGAGTAGTCGTAGAGAGTAATTCCTCCCTATTCATGTCTTTGGCCTTCCGTTTAGCTTTTCGTAACAGATGGGGGCTATACCCCTTGTCCAGGAATTTCTGTAAAAGCTCTGTGAGGCATGTGCCGACTATGCATGCTTTGAAAGACCAGGAATCTCAACACAAAACCACAATCCGAAGTACAAACTCAGATGCACCAGTCGCATGGCACTTTAGAGATAAAAAATATAATGTTTCTCAGTTACGGTACCAAGTGCTAGAAAGGGTGCCCCCTTTGACTAGAGGAGGTAATAGAGAGAAGCTATTGCTACAGAAGGAAGCCCGCCGGATGCACCGTCTAGACACAGTGTCCCCTCATGGTCTCAACGAGAAGCTTGAGTGGCACTGGTTCCTGTAGGTGCATCTTCCTGGTGCCCGCCAGGGGATGCATCCTGGATCTGGGTATGTACTATATTACTTTTATTATCTGCTTTTGTTTTGCCTGCAGTCTCTCTTCACATATCTTTCCATCTTATGTGGCATGCTGTATACCCTCATAATTGGTGAGGTTGGTTTTATGTTTATTTTCTATATTTATTGTAAATAATTATGCTTCATCTTGAGTTTTGATCCTCCTAATTCTGCTCCTTTTCATAGAATTATATGTTTGATAGAGGGATAACACTGATATAAAGTGAGTTTGAGCTTTAAAACACACCATCCAGTTTTAGTTATGGCTTGTCATACTGACAATATCCATTTGAATGGGTTTTGTCTACCCGTTCCTTAGCAACCGTACGTAATGACGAACCAGGAAGTGGATGGAGCCCCCAGGATGGCGGATGGATGCTGGAACGAGCTGCACAGCTGATTTTGATCATACTGGAATTGTGAGTGATGGCCTTGACTTAATGTGAGCAATTGTGTATATATATATATATATATATATATGGTTGGATTCTTGCTATAACTAAAGGGCTTTTTGCCCGAAACGTCTGCATTCTGTACATTGTCCTTCAAATAAATGTGGTAGCACGTGGGTGTGCACTTTAAATACCAGTTGCGCATGACTACATTTCTTCTTTCTTGACTATACATATATATATATATATCTTTGGATCAATTTTTAAATGTTCTAGTGTGTAAATTATTCTAGCAAAGGGCTACACAATGTATTCTCTCATTGAACAATAATACAGAAAATACACTTTTATTTGCAAGGGGGTGGATCTTGACAGCCGAGTGTCCCAGACGTCTATTGAAATTTCTCTTGGGCTGCTTGCTATTCCTGACCGCTGTCAGCGATTATCCTGATAAGGGGACAACAGTGTATCCGGGGATACCTCATTTGAGCTTCCTCATCGTTGGGACACCCTTTCCGAGGCTTGTGGCCTATACAAGGGTGGCCTGTGGAGGGATGGCCGCTCTCCTAGCACTTCGCCTGGGTAGATTGAAACATGTACTGAGCTACCCCCCCCTCATCTGGACCGGTGGGGGTCATCCCAGTTTCCCCCAGGCTTACTCCACATAACTCCAAATACCAAATACAAGCTGCTGATAATCCTCCACAAGCACCAGTATCTCCCAACTTAGGCCCGCCTGGGCTGAAGGTCAACTGGGATGAACTCCCATTGCATCAACCACAGAGGCTGAAGAATCACCGCCACTGGTGACGACGAACCACCAGGAACTTCTGCCGTTGCCTGAACTGGGATGAACTTTGTTTTATGCCAGAGCACCTGAGTACGTGGCATTGTGATGCCGACCTTCATTACAGCCCGGGGCCGGAAGGATGCCATGACTAGCTCCTGTATTAAAGTGTTTCTCAACGGCCCCCACACACTCCCAAGCCTGGGCATTGACTGACTCTGGACTTCCTTACCTGGACTAACCACCAGTCATAGTCTGATGACACCATCATACCTGCTAACATATTTTTGTGCTTTTATGTTCCAATATTTCAGTCTCTATAGTGATTTTGCTTTGAATTTTTGCTATGTATTTCGTTATAATCGGTGCTATGCAGTGAGTTTAGTTTCAGGGGCTGCATTTTTATAATACTTTACCTTAAATGCAATCTACCACCCAGTGGTTTTACTCGTCATATATCTCATCCTCTATAAGGTTGTTATAATACTTGCTTTAGCTCTGCCCTGCACTGCTCATTGCAGGTTTAGGCCGTCTGTTAATTAACGTTAATTCCAGTTTGCAAGTCATGCTTGTGCATAATCTGCAGTTTACTTGATCTTGTCTTAAAGCTAATCCTATACCTGCCTGAAGAATCTTGTCTTTTATAATAATTTAAAAAGCTCAGCTTATCTTGACATTTCATGTTCTACCGAATACAAAAACACTACAAAAAAGCACAAAGAATGTCAAATTAAATTAAAAATGAAAAAAAAAAAGGATTTATTTGCGGAACAGTGAATGAAACAAGTAAAAAGAAAACATGAAAGGTTACAAGAAGCTCACAATCTACATCCTAGCCAAATATAGTTCTATTGATTACCAAAGCAGTAATGTGCGTCAAGTGAACCCAGTATACGAACAAACGTAAGTGATATTGACCAGATTCATGACTGTAAATTGAAACATTGGCACAACACACAATGCTCTTGTGTTCTAACATTCCCAAACAGTAGCACTATGTCTACAGGCCCTTAACCTTTCATATTGTAGTTCACAGACTAAGCTGGCATTCACACAAAGCTCAGGAGCTCAAAATAAACAGTACAGTACAAAAAAAAAAAAATCTATTCACCAGAACAGAGTTGCTTTAAGTTTCTGGAACTCCAAAAACCAAATAAAAAAGGTATTAGATAGTACATGTCCATTGAACCTTTGGCTTGATTTCACCAGCTGTAATGCTGCTACTTTCTCAAGGAATTTGAAATACCCAGAGGATTGTATAAAGTCATAAAGAAGAGACAGTAAAAAAAGCCTTTAAAACCTCGTAGATTGTTCATTTATCCACAAGCAAAAATGAAAGAACGTCAGATAGGTAATAGGAGAACTGACACAACTGTCTCCTGCTTCCAGCCTTCTACGTATCTGTGCAGTCTACAGACGTTTTACTTTTCTTTACTTGTTGTATATCATAAAATACTGTTTGCAAAATACTTTCAATGGACTAGCAAAATCAAACCAAAACGGAAGCAGATTAAAAAAAACCAATAACATTCGGCGTTACCAACTGTAACCGAATTTACACTACGAACCTAGCACTTGTGGATAACTGTAGTAACTCTTTAAAATGGGTATTCTTACTTCTCTGGAAAGTACACCATTGAATAATCACTGAAAATTGCCCATAATTTGTGCTAAAACATACATTAAGGATTTAGCAAATTACATCACAGTCCAGTTAAATCCAGTCAATTACCCGTTAGGCAGCCACATAGTGCCTGGAGTTTCAACTCTAGCTTTGGAGGGGCCCTTATTGAGCCAACAGGGTGATCAAATGTTCTCTCTGCTTGGGCCTGAGCCCCTTATTTTGTTGAGGGAGTGTGGTGGTCTGCACCTCTATCAGGTACAGATCACTTTAAGAGCTATGTTGCAATGCCCTGGCACTTCTCAATGACTTCACACGTTGAAGGCAGTATGTCTGCCTCTCTCAGATAACTTCACATACAATCACACTTAGCCAGACCCACAGTCGCACACGACAACCACACCCAGGTGTAGGTGCTTAGGGAGGCCCGACAAAGGGGAGCAAGGAAGAGAGTCAAGATGACCCTTTTTTATCTATTGTATTCGAGTTCTTGCACATCAGTTCCTAGGTTTACCCTTTTGGAGTGATGATGTTCAAAGTGAAAACTCTAATTTTGAAGGTTTTGATGACGAACAAACTCTTGCATTTGTCTCTGGCAGGAGGGGCAGCCACTAATAGCGTATTCTCTGAAATATATAAACTTTTTTTTTTTAAATTCAAGTTACCCTTTTAGTTCTCAATAAAATGTCAGTGTGATATTTGTTTTTTTCCTTCCAAATTATTAAATATAAGGAGTTAACAATGGAGTTGCACATTTGTGTCCAAAATACCTGAAAATTTGAATACAATGGAGAATTACCCCCCAATACTTCTATCTCTTCTTTACAACTAGCAGTTTAGTGATTAATCCCAATAATTTACTTCATAAACAGACAAACTAAAATTCATTAAAAAGGGAATTATTCATAGAATTGAGAAAAGTAAAAAAAATAGTCCTACAAATATTCTGGCAGAAAAGAATTCTCACTAATAACTTTATTTATAAATAGCAACTTTATATTATATTTCCATAGATTTCACGTTCTGGTAAGAAATGCTAATGAATGGGGAGAATGCCCATGAGATATGTACATGTGTAGGGCAGAGATGTCATATGTATATTGTAGTACAGAGGCACTGCAAGGCACATCAAGACAAAGCAATTACATCACAGCAGTTCTACGTTCACAAAATGCTGTTTCCACCTTTTGGCCACCCTTGACCTAGTATGTGCCTGTTGAAGTACAATTATTATTATTTATTATTATTTTATTATTTATAAAGCGCCAGCAAATTCCGTAGCGCTGTACAATGGGTTGACTAACCGACACATAATTTTATACAGACAAGTAGACACACAGGAACAGAGGGGTTGAGGTCCCTGCTCAATGAGCTTACATGCTAGATGATCAGAAACCCACGTTTAGCTGGAAAAGCTTAAAGGAACCACATGGTAGTTGTTATGGTGCCTGGAGTGCCCTGGTGTCCCCACAATGTAAATAGACAAATCATTTGCAACGGTTTGACTTCTTACCTCGAATCCACTGGTCACTACTCCCTGTCTCTTCCTGCTAGGAGCTTCCATTATCTTTAAGCCCTGCAGTAGGTAATTGGCTGCCTGGATCAGTTGATCACTCTCAGCTAATGAACTAAGACCAGTACCACAAGACTTAGCTCGGAGGGGAGAGCTTCTCGCTGATAGGAGGCAGGAAGTGGTGTCCGGCAGACCACAGGTAAGAAGTCAAACCATTACTATATGGTTTGACTTGTTACATAGGAGGGGGCACTATAAGCTCTACAGCAATCCATACTGGTTATGGTTTTTGGTGTGTTCCTTTATAAAAAAAACTGTCATTACAGGATATACACATTTCCTCTTTTTGTTCCCAGTGCGACTACTGACACAACCTGGACCGCTGGTGTGCCTGGAGGACTGGGTTGGGCCCAAACAAATGTCACTGTGGACTACAGAAAATGAATGACTGAGGGACTCAATGACTTTATCTTTAGTACGTTTTTTTATGAAAATCTGTACCATTGCTAGCATTTCTGCTAGCATAATGTATAGGTCACATTTTATAAACTTTCATTTAAATTAAATGTGTACCATGGCATGTTTGCTTTAAAGGTAATACATATAGGTAAGGTGTATTAAAGTTGTCACTGCAATGCAGACCCACTCACCAGAAAACCTAGTCCTAAAATGAGCAAACAGTAACCCAACCAACACATACCATGTCCCTTTCCACAAGTCAAATTCTCGAATATTTCAGCTGCCTACTGTTCTGTGACATGCACTGGCGCATACGTTAACAGTATAATTAAAACTTAATAAAAGCAAACAAGCAGTAGGTTACCATAGAACATGTCAATAGCAGAGTTCTACCACATGACCGCCTTCAATAATCCTACCATAAGCTGATGGGAGTTGTAGTCAGTGCTGCCAACCCAGCCATGTTTTTTGAACAGTTTCAAACCCACTGTAGGTGCATGAATGGCTCACCTGATAGTCGATGGTGTTTACCTGGAGCACTTAATTAATCAATCATTTCTTTTCTAATATATGTATTAATGTTTTGTGTAATATAGAATAAGTTAACATAATAATGACATATACATATACACTACTAACTTATGAATAGTTCTATAGGACATTTTGTAACAATTTAATGTATTTCCTTGTCAATGTCATATGAAAATTGCACATATTAGGACAGCAATTTTCCCAGCAGCAAGACATTATACCAGTCTAGGAAAAATGGTTAAAAAAAAAAGAAGAAAAAAAGGACAAAAAATAATAATCTAGATGTCCTTTCATAGCAGTAACATTGTTGATAACCTATCTATACACACACCAATTCACTAGTTATGTAAACATTAAAAGACCATACAGCACTGCAGTATGATGGCATAACAGAAACAAAGGCACTTGTCTGTCAATTCCTTAGGGATTAGTGATATTTCCTGCAGTCATCATAACCTAGTCCCTATAGATCCTATGCTAACGTGGAATATCCGGATTATTTGGACAGATTTATAGAATTAAAGGGATGGGTGATCTCTCTAATGGTTTTATTTGCAGCAATAAAATGAGTGAGACATTGCATTTTGATCTTCAAAGGCTGGTTTGTTAAAACAGAATTATTATGTCATTGGTCCTTAAAGGGGTTAAAACAGCCTTTGCATTCCATTCTAAGGATGCAACAGCTTGTCATTGTGTTCAGGAGAGAATGGGACACAGAGGGTTTTCAGAGAGAAGTACAGGAACAAAAATAACAATTTGCTTAGAATGCAGATTTACATAAAGAGAGACATACAAAGTAGTGGGTTTAACTCTTTCAGGACAATGAGACTTCCATCATAAAACCTATTGGGTTTAACCCCTTTAGTAGGAATATCATGTCATGGTTGCCATGATAATACGCAATGTACCTAACCTCGGCCCTGAAGGTGTTAAACACTTTCCTGCAGTAGATGCGCTTTTCAAAGCTAGCAAAATAACCAGGGTGTTTGGCTTCTAAAAGGTTTGAGGTTTAATCCCAATAATGAGTTCCAGAAGAGGTAAACGGAGCATTAGTATTTAGATTGGATTAATGGAATCTGGCTGCTCTATTGCTATAGTACTACACTATTCAGGAATTCACTGCCTTGTCTTTAATGCCAGGTTGAGCTACATAATTACACCCTCCCCATGCTGGTATTAGGGATGTTTAATTATATGGTATGGTTACAGACTGCTCAGATTGTTCGATTGATAAGGGATCTAGAAGGATTTAAAAAAAAAAAAAACAGACACACACAGAAGGAACAGGTCATTTCATGTACATATTTAACTATTTGAGATCCCTTTTACAGAAACATGTAAGTGACTCCTACTTCCCAAATAATAGCTTACACTTAAATTCAGATTAATCCACATATTTTAATATTAATAGTTTTTAGCTGTAAGCTTGTTTGAGCAGGGCCTTCATCTCCTCTTCTATATCAGATTTATAAACTGGCCACTGTACATCGCCAAGGAATATGTTGGCACTCTGGAATAATAGCTAAACCAGCGTATATGGTCCACAATTGTTCAGCTCTGATTGGGGAAAAGCTTTATGGACAATATATATTAAAGGGCTGCATTTAAACCATTGCTGTGTTTCAATGGTCAATTTCTATAAATGTTTGTAATTAAAGGACTAGTGCAACCAGTCTGTAGAAAACCCAAATGTTTCAGCTTCGGGATATACAGTCAGGTTTATTTGCCAAATATAGAATTGTAGCAAATTGAAATCCGAATATATAACTTTAGGAAAATTTCTCCAACTCAGCTACAGTCAAAGCTTAAATATTTAAAGCAACTTCAATATTGTGATTTTATTTTAATTGTGATTGTATTGTATTTGCAATACAAAAAGGGAATAGCCCTGAGTAAAAAAAAAAAAAAAGGCACTAATAATAAATATAAAATTTTAACCACTACCACTTTAAGTAGGATCTTCCCTAAACCCAACACTTTATAACAAAGACATGTAGCGAAAAGACGTATAGCGAAAACAAAATACAAATATCACTTATTTTAACTTGCTACAATTCTGAATGTCATTCACAAAAGAGTTGCTTGTCAGGCGTTCAAATTAAATTTCACATTTTTTTTGACCAACCAAAATTTAACTGAATTTGAGGATATTTCCAGCTCATCTATATACTGGTCCAAAATTTAAAATTCACTTTGAATTTCCCACAATTCATTTCTTTAGTGGATAACCCTGCCAGCGTTACCTTGTATATATGCAGAACCTTTAAGGCATGCTGGGACAAAGGCTACAAGACCATACAACAAGGACTACACAAAACGATTCTTTAAATTGCTGTACCTTGCAAGATCGCTGTTGTCTTCGATGCCTAGCTTCTTACATCCTCCCTTCTGGGAGCACTGCTCCTCTGTGTTCCCTTTAAGTCCAGTTAAATTACAGCACGTCTGTTTATGCAAGTCCCTTGGGATAGAGACTGAGTCAAATGGTCCTTTTTGTGTATTATCCTACTTCTAGCACAATACCTGTGCTTAGGGCTGGCAGACACATTACCCTCCAGGAGGAAATAGATTTTCTCTGGTTAGTCTAAATGGAAAGGTCTGATGATATCAGATTTAATCATGTAACTTATAAGCAAATAGAAAACAAAACTCTGCAAACAGAGGCGTTCCCTTTCACAAAGCCCGCTGGTCTCTAAGACTTGGCAAATCGTGCACAGGTGAACACATCTCTCTGCTAGTAAAACAGCTTGTCCAGGTTGTAAAACACAGAGAGAATGTTTAACGTCATAGCAATAAAATAAAGATAGTTACTGGTACTACAATTTTAAAAAAAATCCCTCAATAAAAGTTGTGAACTTGAAACCAGGAAGGTATATTTAAATTAGTTTAACTAAATTAGGGAATAGGAAGTCAAAAGGAGGACCTTCCACTTCGAGTCAGGCAGGTTAACTCTTTTAGTATTAGCATTTTAAAATAAACAACAACATTACAAATTGGTTCATTTACTAACAAGAAGCTGTGTGATATTTTTTAAAAAAAAATTTTTGTGGGTGGAGGGGGGTGATCTCTAAAAATATAATGATCGTCTGGGGTTGCTGTATCTCTCGTGCAGAGAGAGAGACGGCCTGCATTTTGGATCTGTTCCGCCCTTTTGGGTGGGTTTGTTCTGATATGCAAATGGCCTGGTTCTTTTTGTAATGGCACAAGATGAGCTAAAACCAGCTTGAGCTATGAGCGGGGACCCACCAAAAGGCAGGCTATTTGAGCTGTTGTCCATTCTCAGTACTCTCTTGTACCTTGATTTTTTGCTCCCCCTTTAAAGGGTAATCCAGATGTGGACCCCTTGCTCACGGTGCCTAGAGGGATATCAGCTATACCTAACTGACGATGCCTAACAAGGTTGAAACAATAGTCTGAGGTTGCTGTATCTCTCGTGCAGACAGACCCACCGAAGCGCAGGCTATTTGAGCTGTTGTCCATTCTTAGTTCTCTCTTGCACCTTGTTCTATGCACCTAGTAATATAGTAACATCCAGAGAATATCTGAGTGTACTTTTCCTGGTTAAATACTTTGTTTTTATTATTATATGCATGGCAGTTGTAGTCATACCTCTGAACATTACGAGGTATGTACATGGGGTGGAGTAAGACAGTAGGGGTGTGCCAGATATGCTTCACTTCACTGGTGATGCAGCATGGTGGGCCACCTGAAAAGTGGCATGTCAATCCCTCAAACTGACTGGTAGGTGCACTCTCAAGCCCAACCCAAGGCTGCTCAGGCGCAGAACGCTGTTGAACCACTATTGTATGGGCTGAAAGTGTCTGCTTTAATTTGCACAACGTGAGTATGTCTGTGTCAGGGTTTCTCTGCTGTTCTAAACAGCAACCCTTCTTTTCTTGGTGACTGAGCTATTCAGCTGCTTTTAACGAACAGGTCCTCCATTACTGTTTCCACAGTTACTCACCTGGTTGTTAGTAGCCAGCCCTGTTGCTAATCAGTGCAGCCTATTTAAGCAGCAAGTTCCAGTACCTCCATGCCCTTGTGTGTTTTCCTGTTTCCCAGAAGACTTTCTGTTTCCTGTGTGTTCCTGGTTCCTGACTTCTGGCCTGGTTCCTGACTCCGCTGCTCTCCATTCTCCTGATTCTGGCTCGTCTGACTACCCGCTTTGGTGCCTGACCCCTGCTTGCCTCCTAGACTTTGCTTTTGGCTTATTTAATTTTTTGCAATTTAAAAAAAAAAGTGTTTTGCATCTATGTTATGTCTTTGTCTGGTTCCTGATCCCTAAGAGTCTGACGATGCTCTCATGCAATGATTATTATTATTATTGAAGACTACCTTTAGTACCCTAAGATATAAAAAATGCTAAAATGCAGGAGTGTCCCACTGGTTTGGGGTCTGTGGGAAAGTATGTATATCTGACCCACATATTTCCAATTTCTGATTTCAGACCATATTCTTTTGCATGATGCGAAATCCATGTTTTATCGCGTTGTCTAGTAAGAAGGGACGTCTAATCATTATAACTTGTTTTGTTCTTGTTTGGAAGGTCAGATTGTGCTTTGTGCAATACAAAGCTCAACAGCAATAGAACCAATGAAACCCGCACTAATGTAAAACATGTAAGAGTATACCACAAGCTCAACTGCAATACCACTGTCAAAAGATGTATGCACTTTTGAAAATTCAACACGGCTTTTACATTTTAAGCCACAGTAGCCAAATTAGAAAAATGATCTTAGTAAGCCATTTTTCAATTCAGCTATTCAATAGTCACGGCACTAACCCTAGCGACATGCTGCTCCGGACTTACTAAATACATTGCGCGCATCGTTTGGAAGTACCGCCTCCTGGTTTCCTTCAGCCATCCCGATCGGCGCTTGCAGTCAGACTTCCCGAATGTGCCGATAAGGAAACCAATGCTCGCTCTTCTGACTTCCATAATCCTGACTTGGCTAGTTATATTGTATTTCCATATTTCTGGTACCTTGATCTTGGCTTGTTTTACGTTTATGCATTCTCTGATTTTTACATTCATCCAGGCCATTTTAAGGTCCAGTAATATGTCCTTTCTGTTTATTTATTCCTGACCTATACTTGTAAGTTGGGGAGGGAAGCCATGACAAATACAATAGATAGCCAAAGTTTGTAATGCCTGCTTGTCAAAAACCTCTTAACAAAATTATAGGTGTTACGATGGATGTGGGTTTCCCATTTAGACAGAAAAGCTGCTACTCTTCGTAGAATATTTTGCATTAGTTGTAGAAGATTGTCTGTAGGTATTCTGTTCATTCAGTCATAAAATAATTAATGAGGCCAGCCATCAATGTTAGGTCACTAAGCCTTATTCATAGTTGATGTTCAAATTCATCCCAAAAGTGTTTGATGGAGTTGAAGTCAAGGCTCTGTGCAAGTCAACCAAGTTCTTCCAAACCAATGGTGCAAACTATTTCTTTATGGACCTTGTTTATGCTCAAAAGTGTAATGATTTTCCCATTATTGTTGCTACATAGTTGGATTCAGTAGCTACACGATGCTCCATTACAGAAACTGAGTGGCTTTGCTTGAATCACAAGAACCATCTAGAGATAATTTACCTCTTCCACCAAGATTTCCAGTTGGCGCTATGCAGTCAGGCAGGTAGCATTCTCTGAGTATCCACCAATCCCAGGTTTGTTTGTTTTTGGATGCTAAAGTGTGAGAAGGCATTTTTACTACTTCAGAGTCCAACAAGGCATTGTTCAGGATGTATTCAGGACAGGCGGGAGGATCCAGCTGTATCCAGGACAGGTGGGAGGATTGCAGTGAGCTGTGTTGAAGTGAAAAAACAATCAAACACATTTTATTTCATTGACATACCATCCGGACCAGGAAATGGGAATCTGTACCCTCTCATCCCAACTACAAAAATAATCTAGGGGGATCCATCCTCAACAATTTTCACTATTGCCTAATGGAAATAATTCAGGCAATCTCAAGGAAAACTGCTGCTGCTCATCCAAAAAGTGCCAAATCTTTATTAGTAACTCAAAACATTGATCTGACACACATCAATTCTGGGCTCCTAGAACATGATGGAGATCTATGCGTTTTGTGTGTAAGGCACAGAACAGATATGCTGCCCTCCCCACTATATAGCGATATTATTGGTGCACATATCTTAATTCATTCACTAGCCAGCCATGCAGAAAGGCTTGAAGCAAGACCTGGAACCTAAACCCACACCCTAAAGACTTTGGAATTTAGAATATCGCTCTCCAAGCAAAGGGAGAGCATCACCTAAACTGACAAATACAGAATACTATTCACAAAAACTCAAATCTTAAATGAATTAGTAAATAAAGAAATAAAAACAAAAAACAACCTTACCACTACTAACATACATAGAAAATCAATTCTAAATACCTACAGTCTATTAAAGAAACACTCTAACTTTAGGAATACAAAAGTGTATTCCTAATGCTATAGTATCCCTCAGCCTTAAGACAATTGTCCAGACCCCCGGGGGTGGAAAGGTTTGAAAAAAAACTTTTAGAATTACCTCCTTCCAGTGCGGAGGTCAGGTCTAGCTCCCTCTTTGCCTCCTCTGACTTCGTCAATGGGGAAAAGAAAATGCACATGTGCGCAAAGTGTGTTAGGCCTTCCCTATAGGAACACATTAAATCAATGTTTCCAATTGGGATTTTGAAGACACTGGATGACCTCAAGTGTGAGAGACAACCACTAGAGGCAGTCTTAACTCCTCAATGTAAACATAGCAGTTTCATTGAGATAAAATGGTATGGTGCCTATAATGTCCCTTTAAGTTTACAACATAGTTCCAGCACTCTGTATGAGCTATTGAGAAATTAATTCTTTCTACATGCCACTATATTATGAAATAAATAACCCATCGTACAGCACTACGGAATTTGCTGGCGCTATATAAATAATAATAATACAATAATCTATGAAATTGCAACATATTGTCATGGCAAAGTTTAGATTCAGTTTCAGCTGCACAATGTTTATTAACTGACAGTTTTCCCCTCATATTCAGATCTCTTAAAGGGAATCCAAACAGTTTAACATATCAACTAAACATATAGGTTTTAGATATTAAAAATAGCAACCATCATAATGAAAAAAAAAAAAAAAACATAGCAAAAAACCACCACCAACAACAACAACCATAATATTGGTATAGGAAAGAAATGTCCCAGTCCACATTTAATCCAACTGGAGCCCTAGTAGCCAAAGTAATTATCCCAAACATTTCTGTCTTGGAGATACAGTGCCTTGCTCACAAAACAGGTAGATCTCTGGTGTGCAGATGCTAAAAGCGCCAAACTACTGTATGTTAAATTAGTGTTAATATAAATCTATTGGCGTTACCAATGACGATTTTGCACTATTTGAAAGAGTAGTAGTTATATTTTTCTTAGGATTGCCAGCACTTATTCACTCATACCCTGATTTGGCAGATGGACTGTCAGCTTGGCAACCACAAGGGGGGCCTTGAAGTTACAAGTAGTCTTAGAGAGACTGATTTTCCCTGTGAGCACGTAAATTATACAGCTGTTGGAGTTAAAGGGATACTGTAACTCTAACTCTAACATTTCTTTAAATTGGTTATAGTGTTTGTTGTCCCCTGGCACATTCCCTCCACATAGTGTTAAACCATTTTAGAGCAGTTAAACACTAAACAAGGGTTACTGGCCACCCACAGTCCTTTACACACTTCCTTGTAGTCATACCCATATATACCGTCAGATGGAGCTCTGATAGGCCAAGAGCAGTCAGCTGATACTCTCAACCAATCACAGCTGCCCATTGCTGCTCAGGCTAATACTTCCTCATTAGCCAAAGCAACACAGAAGGGATGGGCTGCTAGGGTCTCTCATTTAGCATTAAAAGATAAAAACATTAAAAACTGTTTAACCCCTTCAGGACGGAGTCAATAGTGCACGTTCTGATCAAAACAAAGCGTAAACAAAAACTGGAATTTGCGCTATATGTCTGTTCAACCGTTATTCACCTTTTTCATATTAAATGCACCTACACTTATTATATATCATTTTGTTCAGGAGAAACAGGGCTTTAATTTCATATCAAATATTTAGATATGAAACATAATTTATTATGAATAAAATTAAAAAAACTGTGAGAACTTTTAAAAATGTTTTAAAATTTATAGTTCCGCCTCACATTTTAGCTGTAAATGTCATAATACTGTTCAGTTTTACTGCAAAAAATGCACATATTTGTAATCAGCGATGTCTCACGAGTACAACAGTACCCCCCATTAACAGGTTTTATTGTGTTTTGGAAAGTTACAGGGTCAAATATAGAACGTTCCATTTTCAAATTGAAATTTGCCAGATTAGTAATGTTACCTCTGAGACGGTGTGGTAGCCCAGGAATGAGAATTACCCCCATAATGGCATACCATTTGAAAAAGTAGACAAGCCAAGGTATTGAAAGTGGGGTATGTTTAGTCTTTTTTAGTAGCCACTTAGTCACAAACACTGGCCAAAGTTAGCATTCATATTTATTTTTGTGTGAAAAAAGCAAAAATCTAATATATGGCCAGTGTTTGTGACTAAGTGGCTACTAAAAACTGGACCACTTGGGTTTTTGCAAATGGTATGTCATCATGGGGGTAATTCTCATTCCTGGGCTACCATTCTTCTCAAAGGCAACAAACCAATCTGGCAAATTTCAATGTCAAAAAAATTAAATGCAAGCCTTATATCTCTAACTTTCCAAAACACCATAAAACCTGTACATGGGGGGGTACTGTTATTCTCGGGAGACTTCACTAAACACAAATATTAGTAAAACAGTAAAACATATTACAACAATAATATAGTCCATAAAAGTGCCGTTTGTTTGTAAAAAATGCAAAAAACGTAACTTTTACTTAAAATATCATGGTTGTAATACAATTTACCAGTTTGAAACACTAATATTTGAGTTCAGCAAAGTCTCCCGAATAAAACAGTACCTCCTATGTACAGGTTTTATGGTGTCTTGGAGAGTTACAGGGTCAAATATAGTGCTTGCGAATTAAATTCTCTGCACTTTCTCCCTGTGTTGTCAGGCATTTCAATCACATTTTATTTACTCAAATCACATAATTATGTTAAAAGATTACTTAAATATACACATAGAATTTTAATATATATGCATTTATAGGTATTCAAATTCTACGTGTATACTAATGTAACCTTTTATGTAATTATATGTATTTATCTACATATATATATATATATATATATATTTGCGGTTATTTGTATTTTATATATAGATAGATATATAGAGAATGTCATTCTAAGTGTATTTTGTTACCAATATATATATATTAATAACAAAATACAGTTAGAATGAAATTACATATGAATATATAATTTATATAAAATTTTGTTTCAATATTTTATTCATTTATTTTATTATTGTATTTATTATTGTAATTATACGTATATATATATATATAATATATGTGTATGTATCTATTATATATATAATGTATATACATATTATATATATGTAACGTCATTCTAAGTGTATTTTAATATTAATATATATACTAATATTAGTATTAAAATACACTTTGTATGACGTTGCATATATATAATATGTATATTAATTTTTTTTTTACACTACCTACCAGCAGGGGGACTGTCTGACATTTCAGACAGTCCCCCTGCTGGCAGATCCACAGCCAGCTATACGGGGCCATGTGATCGCTCTTTAAGAGCGATCACATGGCCCCCGGGGGCCTCATTCGCTGGGGGAGGGCTGCCTGGGCTGTCAGGCAGCCCTCCAGAAGAGGATCGCGGCGGAGGTAAGTAAATATTACCTCCCCTGGGCTTAAGCCGTTACAGCGTTCTATGCCGCCGCAACGGCTTTAAAGCCCTTTAAAGCCGCGACGGCATAGAACGCCGTAACGGCGTTAAGGGGTTAATATGAATGAATGACGGTACTAGGGGAATCCAGACACTGTAACCAGTTTAATGAGATGAATCAGACACGGTGCCTACAGTGTCCCTTTAAAAGGTAACGCCTAGTTCGCCCTGTTTATTGGATAATAAAAGTGAAAATTATTTGCAAATATCAATAAAGCTTGTTGACAAGGAAAAAAAAAGGGAAAAGCATGTGACATCATTTCCTTTGAACACAGGGATGCAGACAGACAGGAAATGAGAAGCTTGCACATGCAACTTAAAGCATTGACACAGACTGCACCATTACTAGGCAGGCATCGAGGGGGAAGGGGCAGGAGGTGACAGCTGCAAGGTGTCATTATTTTACTCTGCCTGTTATGTACATAGCCGTAGGGATAGATATAATCTCAGGAATCCTTGATTGTATTCACTGTCACAGGGCAGAGAACAGTTAATATATATATTCAAACACCCTAGTCTTTTTGAATACGGGACATTTGGTTTTTTTCTGAGTTCCTGTAAATAAATACATCTACTTTAAAATCACATGAGACCATACAGGAAAAAACGCAATATTATTTATCTTTAGTATAGGAGCGTAGTGGGTACCACAAGAAAATTATACCTTTAGAAAAAAATAATCATAATAATTTCAGACAATATTCCTAGACCTGGGAACTACTAAGCTATTTCCCTGAGTCACAGGGGTTAATTTTTAAATAATAAGGTATGCAGGCAGATGCTCGGCATCATCATATAGTTTGGGAGTACACTGAATTCAGTTTTTATTTGATATTACGTGTCTCCCAGGTGGCACTAATTAATGTCTTCCCTAAGTTAGATTTAGAAATAAAATAGTTAAAACATGTGGATCTCTTTGATTTGGAATCTATGTCCTGAGTTCATACTGTGAAGGACAACTCATTTTAAAACGTTCCCAGGTACGTATATGGCCAGCACAATTAACCCTTTAATTGCCGGAGTGTGGTACAATATTGTTCGCTCCACCAGACACAAAAAAAAAAGGTTAATGTATGTAATGTTTTGTGTTGGGCGTCTAAGTAATCAAGAAGTAAGTCTGCACTTTGATACAGGAAATAGGCAGACTACATGGACCAATTGGGTTTTATATGCCAAAAGAATTGATATTTATTGATTCAACAGTGAACCTTTTGATTGCCTGGGATGTGCCCAACATGATGCAAACCAATGCAATGGGCACCCTTTACATTTAAATAGTTACAATGTCGTCGATGGTAGCAATGTAAGGTATTGCTATTGTTTTTTTGGCTTATTGCTCTTATATGTATGTCTAGTTTAGAGCTTACATGTGGCGACTATGTCCTTGCTATTTGCAGATTTGTTGGTCACTTGTCTTTGTTGCCACTTAATAATAATAGTTTAAAAATCCTAGCTGGCAGTTACATTGATTTTTAACAATTCAAACATATTTCAAACCTGGACCTTGTTGACTGTGTATATGTTTTTTTTCCCTTTCTTTTATTAAACAAAGAACAATACAGTAATACAAGTCACCTCTACTCACCTTGACAAACCGGACTGTTTACTTAATGGGTGCATTATTGAAAACCGCCTGGTAAGTAAACAAATACATTGTTGCCAACAAGATCCTATTGCCAGATAGGCACCCAGGCTTAGAAGGGTGGCTTACACCCACTTTCACTGAAAGCTAATTTTCTTTTAATATGTATATAACATAATTATTCATGGGCTGACCTTAAAATGAAGCATTTCTTTTCTCTTCCAGATGCAAACAAACAGATGACATTTAATTCTTTGTTTTCTCCATTGGTCCTCGGGGCTGAATTCTGACAATTTTTTTTCTTGCCTTTGGAACAGGTTAATTTGCAGCCCAGTGATTCTGTGGGTATGAGGCTTCTCTAAGTCAACGTTTTGAAGGCTTAGAAAGATAATCATCGGTGCCGTATGAAACATACAGTTCGCAACGCAAACATAGTGTATCCATAGCACCAGTGGCTCTCAGCCAACTCAATCGCAATATTAATGAGTTCAGTTGGATTACCCCTAGGATGCAAGATTTGAGTTTAGAAAGGATTTCAAATTCCTAAACTTTCTGTTATATCTTAAAGCTGCTACTTAAAAAACACCCCAGATATTTAGTTAGGAATTTATTTATTTTTTCATTATCATATCTGTAGCTAAATTAAAAAAGGATTTAATATTTTTCTAGAGTGTTTTTATAAATTAAATTAAATAGAAAGGGTCATGGCGTTATGTAAGGCATTTGTTATTTGTTGACTATTTTTGTAGTTTTATAGAGTTTGTAGAATTTTTTCAAAGTAAAAAATGAAAATAAATGCAAGAACAAAGGTTTTATACAGGTGACAGGTTTACGCGTGAAAGATTGTTGCTTTGCAAAATTTATTGTTTGCGACCTTGTGAAGCAGAACATTTAATCAATTTGTTCCAGTTCTATAGAAGACAATACGTTTCCTGTAAACAGAAAGTTTACTGAAGTCAGAGACTTCTACTTACGTGCATACTTCCCTAATTAGTGGTTTTAGTTTCTTCTGTTTTGTTTTTGTGAGCAAAGGATACTCCAAAATATCCATAAAGCCATTTTACCACTGTTAGATAGTAAAATCAAGCCCAGTATCGAATTTTCACAAACTGATTGAGGCCTTACCAGTAAAAATATTCAGGAGAAAAAGGGCAAATTTGAAACATGAGTAGCATGAATTGTTACATGTCACAAAACTGTGAAAAAGAGGATAGTGGCAATGATTCACAGCCAATCTACCAGGTCCTCCAGCCAAAACAACGGAAATTAGTTCTACATTTGGATTTGAATAATACAATCCTGGTGTCTGATGCAGTTACAGGACAAGGACCCACGGCAGCTTTGAACTCTTATCTGAGTACAGTTACCTGGGGAAAGCTAAGTGACACAGGTAAGGCAAAATAAAATCAAGTGTTTCTGGTGGGGTATTGATGAATTGAGGTTTGGGGTTTTCCACCATGTATTTTTTTTAATTTTGTCTCCGAGATAACAGAATATTGACTAAATAGTCACTTTGACTTGGCTAAGTTGCTTATGCACAGTGTGGGTCAACGAATGTGCCATGCAAGCAAATGTGGTTATTCGGTAACATTCTACATGGCGGCTCAAAGGGACACTATAGTCATCAAAACAACTACAGCTTAATGTTTTTCAGAGAAAAGGCAGTGTTTACATTTACATTATAGAGATGCATTTGTGTGAGGAGGTGCTGATTGGCCAAAATGGTGTTTGGCGCTGCCCCCATCCCACCTCCTTGCCGATTTCAGCCAATCCTAAACTTTCCCCATGGAAAAGCATTGGATTGGCTAAAAATCATTAATTGTGATGATGTCACCAAAGAGGCAGATCAGGGGCGGGGCAGGTCCTGGCGTACCTATGCGGCATTGGAAATAAGGTCTTTTTTAACCCCTTCTAAGGAGTGGGCAAGACACCTAAATGTGTTTTTTACCACTATAGGGTCAGGAATACATGTTTGTGTTCCTGACCCTTTAGTGTTCCTTTAATTGTCTGCGGACAGGTGGCTCTTCTGTACATTCCATGTCTCCCTCCTCAAATAGATACTCAAAGCGCTTAAACAACTTTAGCGTAATGAAGCAATTTTGGTGTTCAATACAAAGGGCTCATCTACCATAGTAACATGTTTTAGTAACATATTTTACCCCTAACAACGATATTGTGAGCTTCCCAGATAGTGGCCGCTGTAAGTTCGCCCGGCGTGTTCAACTCAAAGTAGGAAGTAAGTTCTTCAGAAACCTGTTCCCTGACTTCCAGATCCAGTAGTAGGGAATCTTGGAGGCGCCATGCCTAATAGGCTGGACGCATCCTCGGGGTGTCCAACTCCAGGGTTACTGGGCTGTGGTCTGACCAAAGGGCAGCCCCTATTTATGCTTTTTGGACTGACACCCGCTGGTCTTGTTGTAGGAATATATAGTTGATTCTTGAGCAGCGTCTGTGGACCACAGAGTAGTGAGTATATTCTTTATCTCCGGGGTGCATAGCTTTCCAGCAATCCACCCGTCTGAGTTTCCAGAGGATTTCCTTGTGTGATGCTGCTATGACCTGTGGATGAGTCTACAAGAGGATGTAGGGGCACATTGAAATCACCGCCCAGGATCAGTGTCCCTTCAGTGACCTTTGCTAGGTCTCAACGATCACTCCCATATGGAGAGCGTGTATTATTATGCATCTCTGTCTAGGGCAGTGCGAGTTATCAGGAGCAGTTACCCAGGTCAGCGTCGGGCTAGGGGCAGCAGGTAGAGTAGGCTTTAATTAAGGACCGGCAAGGATCGTGCCCAGCATTACCAGCCGTTTTCATAAATTCTCTCTCTGGCTGTGCGATTGGAAGCTGACCGGGGGCGGGTCCAGAGCATTGCGTCCAGGTGTAACATATGGCTAAGAACATTCGGTATCCTAACATTCCTGGGATGAAAACATCTAACCACTGGCAACCTGGATCACAGGCACAGTAGAAGTGAGAATCCCATACATAGCGTAAAATCAGGACATACAGTATAACATTCCCCCCTCCATCCCCCCAACTTGAACTCTGTAAAGTAAAGGAACTTAACATCATAATTTTTCTTCTTCCCCAGTCAGTTTTCTAAATAGTGTGTGTGCCCTTCCTTTATCCCTTCCCTCCCTATCCCGGTTCATGAATAGTGGGAGTATATTCGAAGCAGGATAGTCCTCTCCAACCTCATCACCCATTACCTAACCCCAACCGAGGGTATCCCTCCCACCCCTTCCTAACCTCCCCAGCTCAACAACTGCCATAAAAATCCCCCTCCTCCCCTGTATCAGCAGAAGCAGAAACATCCCTTCATTCCCGTGTACACCTGCATGATATCGCCCCCTCTGAGCTAGCCCAGGCTTTGATGGCTTCAGGTCAAGGCCAGTCTCAACCTCCTGGAGGACGGTATGCAAGTGTCCGACTCAGAATTGCGGCCGAATCAACGGTCCCCTCAAGAACAGAGAATCCCCACCAAGATGGCGTAACCCACTCCTCTCCCTCCCCCCCCCAATAAACACAGATAGGGTATTCCCTCCCAAATCAAGGTGAGCCATGGTCCCTGAGGTAGGCTGGTTCCGTAACCTGCTTAAGTAGTGGGGATACTGCCCAATAGCATGCTCCCAGGGGACTGCAGGTTGGTGCTCATTCCCTCTATCCCTCCCAATAAGCAAGGAAAGCAGACCATATGCCCACCAAAGTCGGCAGTCGTACCGCTATCCATAGGGAGTCGAGGCCCATGTGGTACTCACGATTTGCCGCTGGTAACAGTCCTTTTATCCGGATTTTGGAGTGACTGCTCCTGTTGTCGAGGTCCTCAACTAGGTGGCGCAGGGCTAATAGCATGCAGCCTTGCCGCGCTATGGCTGTGTCTGCTGCAGATGCCTGTTGCTGTGTGATCTGGGCCTGGGATTTAAGTGCCCATGTGCGGCCACCTTGTGTGTCCACATCTGACTGCAACGCTGTTACCGCCGAGGTGAGGGATGTCATGAGGGTGCTTCCCAGGGACTGCAGGTCTGATTTTTGTGACCATAGCAGCCTCCAGCCTGATCTCTGCTCCTATATCCGCCAGCCTGGTTTGCTCCTGTTCCGAGCTGGTGGAAGCAGGAGACACGGTCACCGTCTTGGATCTGTGTGCCTCGCAGTTAGGCACCAGCGGGATTTGTAGAAAGTCATCTGTCGGGCCCGACAGTAGCGGGTGCTCTGGTCACTTGGTGAGTCCCATTAGGTAAGTGTAAACCGAGGCAAGTAGCGTATATTAGCTTGGTCGGGAGGAGCTTGGGTCTCGATCGTCCAAGCCGCTCAGACTTCAGACCATGCCCCCATTTTGAGATCATTTAACTCAGCCCGAGAGATTTGACAAATAAACTCCTATACAATAATATATAATGCAAAGTAAATATGAACAAATAGCAAACTTAGAAATATTTCCCTAACTCTGCCATAGGTACATCTTGACTATCTTAGACTAAATTACGCAATATCAGTGCTTATGATACTTAGTGAATAAATCTATTGTATTTCATCATTTTAAGAAAAGTTTGTCTCTGAAACTGTATGAATCTTTGTTGGTGTTCTCATTTAGATGAATTTTGTTTAAATGCATTAGGGTGTTGCAAATTTAAAAGTACACCCATGGAAATTTAAAATAGTCTTTATCCACTTTAAAATGCCACAATAGGAAGGATTTACTAATTTTTTTATGGCTCCACATAGGAGTAAGGTAAAATCGCGGTATAGTAAAATTTGAAAAACAGTACACTTATAATATTCCAGGATTTGTCATCATTAAACTCATGCCAATATAGTCCACCATGGCTGTTGGCAGAATTAAAGGGGACATTGTCAACCTTTTAGTGGGTACTGTGACTGGTGGTGAAAGCAGAATTCAACTTAAGGGGACACTCCAGGCACCAAAACAACAAAACCCCTGGTCTCTTACTTCAAGGGGTTAAACCATTCTCAAATGACATCCGGCTTCTGATATTTCAATTTCAGGAAACAAAGAATGCCGCTGGGCATGGGACCAGCTGATTGGCTGAGAGTGGTCAGCTGAGGCTCCCAGCCAGTCAGTTACTCTCCATTTACAAAACTGGCTTGGAAAGAAATGTACCTTTTCGAAGCCAGATTTGTGAATGGGGAGTTCAACGGCTTAACCCTTTTTTTAGGTATGAGTGCCCCCAGGGGCCTCTTGGCACCATAACAACATAATTTAGATGAACTTGCTTTGGTTCTTGGAGTGTCTCTTAAATGATTCTCATGAACAGCTAATTTTTTTTTCTAAATTGGCTGTTTTGCCCTTAAATTTGCAACTAGCTTGCCAGATCATCTTGACTTGCTATTTATTGAGCTGGTTTTACAATGTTCTGCTTCCGGATGCTATAATACATGTTAAACATAGATACATAATTGTAATAAAAATGTTTGTCAAGCTGCATTCTGTATACATTTTTGCTTCCTACCGTGTTTTCCCAAAAATAAGACATCCCCCGAAAATAAGCCTTAGCTTATTTTCGGGGGATGCTCCTAATATAAGCACTACCCCAAAAATAAGCCCTAGTTGTTTGCTGATCTATGTTTGGGAATTTTCCCTGAATATAGACTCGCGGGATTCCATTCGCGAGTAAACTAATGTATGTTCGGGAAAGTATCCCCGAACATAGATTTGCAGGATTCCATGTCCTAGTGAACTGGTCTATGTTCTAGCACACGTTTTCCCCGAAATAAGACCTACCCCGAAAATAAGCACTAGTGTGTTTTTTCGTGGGGAAAATTAAGACCCGGTCTTATTTTCGGGAAAATACTATTTTGTTTTGCATTGGTATAATGGCATCACAGAAAATGCAGGATTATGACACTTAGAAATTAGAATATTAAACCTCAATTGTCATTTAATTTCAGGTGAATGGCAGTGGTTGAATGATTGCCTTTCAGTGACTCCTCCATCTAAGGATGCCATTAACTATTATACCAAGTTTGGCCGTAGCACGGATTTTGTTGACACTGAACTAGGCCGGAGGTTTAAAGAAGTCCACAACCATCACATGAAATTATTAGAGTGGAAAGGAGAACATGACAAGGTCTTCACCCAGGTGGGCGAAGATAGAAAGGCATATAACTGGATTCTACCATCCTTTTTCTATCTGATAGAAAAACTTCACCAACAAGGACGCCAGTTCACTATCATATTACGGACGTTTGGGACAGACCTCCCACTTGTACTACAGGCCGTTCATTCTGCTTTTACAGGGAAACACCCACACTTCCCTCAACTGCAGAACATACCGGTAAGTACTTGTTTGCTTTTTCAGGAAAAAAGTGGTCAGAGGTCAGTATTGGGCTGTCAATGGTTAATCATAACCATCAACATTTTGTGAGATTTAATCCTCAAAATGTGGTCTTTGAATAACAAAAACTTTTTAAATTATTCAGATATTTTTACAATGTGTAATTAATTGACATTTACATATTTTTTCTGAATTTTAAAATTAATTTGGCAGACATATTTATAAACATTTTTACAATGTGAAACTCTAACAAACAATAAAAAGCTCAATAGAAAAACAAAACAATTAAAAAAACATATAAAAAGATGTAAAAACTGCTAGAACCATAAAAAACACTTCTCAATTAAGGTACCAATGAGTACATTTTTTACAATGTAAATGCCCAGGACAAAGCAAAGTATACCATGAGCTACTAGATTTGCAGATAGATTAACACTTTAGAAGATCTTGTGTCATAATTCATCAGCCTCCTATGCAAATGCACTGCTACAAGAGAAAACATAATTTGTATATTTCTTTGTACATTTCTTACAAAACTCTTATTCATTTCCTTATCATTGCCTGTCTTGGGTACTGCAACCTTTTTCTTATTTTCCATGTCCAGACTTCCTGCTAAATGTTTAACTCAACTCCAGTCTATATAAAATGCTACCCCCATCATGTGACTGACACAACATTTGTCTTCTGCTAAAAATTAGCATTTTCCAGTTCAGCTATTTTGACCATTAACTCACTTTGAATTCCCAATAATTCTTACATTGGTGAAAAATCTGGTAACTCCATATAACAATGAAAAACCATGTACCTAGCATTCCACTAGTTTCTCATCCAGGTTACCCTTATTACTCTAAGCACTCCCCTACTCATTATCTCAATTTAAAAGAACAATCCAGGCACAAACAACTTAATCTAAATTAAAATGTTTTGGGGCCAGGATTTATCCAGGCAGGTTCTTACATTCAGGGGTAACCCCAAAGTTGCCTCCTGCACCGATCTCAGCTCATCCACCCCGGCAGCATCCGGCTTCTGAAATTGCAGATTTAGGAAGCAAGGAACAGGGGCACAGGTGATTGGCTGAAAGCAGTTAGCTGATGCTCTCAGCCAGTCAATGACTCCCCTTTTACAAAACTGGCTTGGAAAATGTATGCCAGTTTTTTTTAGAAAGGGAAGTCATTGATTGTCTGAGAACATCAGCTGTGGCCCTGCCTGGCAGCACTCCGCGATTCCTAAATATGAAATTTCAGAAGCCAGATGCCGCAAGGGTGGGAACTGAGATTGGCACTGAATGTAAGTGTGCGCCTGGGGGGTCTTCAGCACCATAAAAACTGAATTAAGATGAAGTAGTTATAGTGCCTTATGATACCTAAACTATGCCTTAAAGAATAATCACCTCTTTTATCAATCTCAATTGTTTGTCTCCCACAACATGTATAATCCCTCCCTCAAAACTCATATTTTAAAATAAGCTTTCAAATCATTTCACAAATCCAACACACGCAGTTCCATAATATCCATAACACTCTACATTTACCTTGTGTCTTACTTTTCCCCTTCTCTTTTATGTATTTGCATTAAAAATCTTATATAGTGCACTTAAAGGACCACTAACACCACCCAGAACACTTCTCAATGAAGTGATCTCGGTGCTGTGGCTCTGTTGTTTTAGTCATTTGATCTAAAACATTGCAGTTTAGTAGACACAGAAATTTTTGATTGAAGGGTTAAACACACCTCTAGTGGCTGCCTTCCTGCCAGCCATTAGAGGTGGTGCTCTGCAACGACCGAGTTTTTCTTGGCCATGTGATGTTCGACGTCAATGAGAACATTGATTGTCATTAAATTCAACTCATAGAGATACATTGGGTTTAATGCTTCCCTATGAGAGGCATTTGATTTGACTTGCGCTTGTCGATGGTCATGCATATGCATCTCATCCCCTAAGGTTCAAGTTTGAGCAAAGTCATGATGATGGCAAAGAATGTCATGTATATCCTAAATTATATCATTTACAGGGTAGGAGGCGTATTAATAGTCCCTGGAGTGGCCAGGTTTAAAGCAGTTGACAGACAAGAGAATAGTCAAGGAACAGGTCAAGTTCAAGGACAGGAGAAGTACGCAATAACAAAAGGCAACGCAGGGTCAAAAGAAATCAGAGAGCACGGTCATAATACAAAGAAATCCCTGATAACAAAGAATGTGCCATTAAGTACTCATAAGATCACAACAGGATACTGACTGCTGGTCCCAATGGGCTTTTATATAGATTGAGGTAATGGCTCCCTTTGCGTCACTTCTGTGCTCTCAGAACGTACACGAGCATTGATATTGATGCAATATCACATTTCGGCACACAGAAGCTGCCTCATAAATTGACGCAGAGCCACAGCGTCAGAATTTACCCCAAATGTGGACGTGGAGATCCATGAACAAGGGAGGACTGAGCACATATGGTAACACATAAGCTAACACTTTCTACCCTTCCCTCCCAATCTGCAGTGTTTGCTTATTTTTCTCCACTAATCAGACTGTATAGGGTGGCATCACTGTCATTTCTGGGATTTGCAGTTCATATGCTACACTTCTGCATTAGCAATATATATCTATAGTCAATCAGTATCCAGTGTGCTTAAATAGTCAGAATATTTAACAATTATTAGAATTACAGTCAAAATATACTAGTCAGAATTAGAGACTTTTGAGATTGGGTTAAAATAGAAATCTTCACTAAATCTTAAACAAACTATATATAACTATGCAGACACAGAAATGTAAAAATATTCTTTGCCATCTAGTTTTTAGTGTCACTATTCTATTTATCATACAGTTTACTTACCTGCAGTTGAATAGGCTGGAAAATGAAATACTGGTTATTATGAGACTCTTCTCCGCAATATGTTATCTGTACCCAATATAGAGACATACAAAGTGCCTTTTTAAATGTCAAAATGAAAAAGAATTGTTTAGGCCCTTTATCGTCCCTGCCTCCCATGTCTCATTGTCTATAGGCTGTCTGCAGACAATCACAGCAGGTCTTTGCAAATTGCTTTAGACACAGCCGTCAAATCCGCTCTCTTTTATCTCGCTAGGGTACCGTGCATTGGTGTTAAAGCCCATTAAAAATATTCTTCACAAAGAGGATTGTTTTTCTTAGCAGAGAAGCTCCAAAACAGGACTTGCTGCTAATAAAGTCCATGACAAAAGCATGACCCCTCCATAACCTTTTTTGCAACAACTGCAAGTTGCCCTTAAACTACAGGCTGCATTTCAATACGGTAGCAGTCTTACAAAGCTGCGGTTTGGCCAGTAGTAGGTCGTTAGTCTTGAGATTGTTACTCATAAAGCAAGACGTTATCATGGGCAGACGATGGACCTGGCTAGCATAAACATTTTTAAAGGACTTCTTCAACCTGCGCAGTGGGTGTCCCCAAGTAATCCTGTAATTTGCAAGTCCAGCCACAATTTCTTTGTTTTTATTTTTTTAGTTGACTAGCAAAACAAACCTGCTCAAACAGACCCTCTCTATTTCCTCATCCATCACAAGCACAGATCATAATTTATGGTCTCATGAAAGGGACTCGACATTCACAGGTTAATGCAGTGATTTGGGGTATATGGCCTGTGTCTGCAAGGTCAGCAGTGTAAATGCTCCCTTTTCTGAAAAAAGGCATTGTTTGCACTGCTGTCTGAGTCTACCGAGTGACAGCCACTAGAGGGACCCTCTTGGTTTGGTCCTGCACGGATTTCACATGGAGATGCTGAAATGCTCCCCACAGAAGATGCAGTGCTGTTTGGCTCAGCGCACAAGTCCCCCCAGTGTTTCCTAATGGGGAAGCATTGGATTGGCTGAGACCATCAAGATTTATGATCTTAGCCAGGAAAAATGGAGAGTAAAACGGCTTTTTTATTTATTTTACATCGAGTGGAGACAGTCACCTAAGTAGTTAGAAGAACAATATAGGTTAGAAATACATGTATGTATTCCTAAAGCTATAATTTTCTTTTAATCTACCTCAGACATGGTTGCAAAGTATCTACTGATTGTTATTTACCAGTCTAAATTGTTGAAATGTGCATAGCAACATTTAGGACAAAATAAACTGCAGAAGTCACAGCTGACTATTGTAGCCTAAGTTTTGTGAGGTGGATTTAGTTAGTAACCCTGCTACTGTTACTTAATATTTTACAACTCCCATATATTTATTTACATGGATAAAGACTACACAGTTATACCTCACTTTCTCTAGATTGTAAGATTGCTTGAGTTGTGCCAGCCCCAACACTTTTTTGTTTGTCTAATCGATATTTTTTGTATTGTATTACATATTTCTGTGCGATATGTTGGTTCTCAATATAAAATAATACTGTGGTAAAAAATAAAAATAATTTATCATAGAGTCTGCATTGCATAACAGGAAATAAAAAAAAAAAATTCTAAAATCCGCTCATCTCTGGCAGGAATGTAAGTATGGGTGAATGCGTTAACATATTGCCTCATGGGTAACTTGACAAAGACATTTAATGGCACCTTAGAATTCATATTTTTGGTAAATTGTAGTTATATACATTTCCCCCACATTGTTACAGATGACCGTGGATCTGACGCCAGGAAAGATCCGCTGCAGTAAACGAGTATCTGTTCTCACTCGTGGATCTGATCGCATTTCGACAAAAGCTAATGAAGGGGTCATTTATGACTACTTCAGTACTATGACTGGCATCGGAGGCTTCCAGGATCACTTTGAGTGGTAAGAAAATGTGAACTTTTTGCACAAGATGATGCAATGACAGAATTCCAGAGTATATTAGGATTTAATTTTTTAATTCTTCCAGGAACAGAATATTGTCCAACTAAGTAGTAGTCTCATTAATCCCATTTAAATTTATTGTTGAGTTCTTATGTCACCCTCTTAGTCGTGATCAACAAGAAAATTGACCACATTAACAACTTTAAGGATGCTTGACTAGTATAGATGTTAAATAGTATAGTTAACAGTAAGTCAGTATCTCGATAGAGAGACTCCAGACTGGATTTACGCTGCAGGTGACCATGACAATCCCTTGACAATTCCCCACAGGTCCCAGTTTAGGGAAAAACCCTGCACGTTTTTCTGAATTATGCCTCTCAACAACTGAGTGATTCCGCCGCTTTTATAGTAGGATGCCATTGGCCCAAATTTGTAGCATAGGGACTACTCTACGTTACAAATTTGGGCCAATGGCACCTTCCTCTGTGTAAGAATAGCTGTGAGATAGTATATATTTACTACATTTCTACAATGCCAGTTACAAATTTAAGCATGCTTGCTGAAAACTAGGTTAATTGCTTAATATTTTATGTAATAAAACATGATTGAAATACTTGAAAAAGCATATTAACCCCTTAAGGACACATGACATGTCTGACATGTCATGACTCCCTTTTATTCAAGAAGTTTGGTCCTTAAGGGGTTAAAGTAGAAAAAAAAAAAACCAAAGTCCATGTATCCAAGTTTGACAAAGAAGAAAAGTGGGGGACAACTTAGTCTAAAGAACTACCTTGCCCAACTAGCAGGCTTATGAATAATTAATTATTTAGGATTTTGCGAACTTTGATGTTTGGGATATTATCTTAATGATGAACAAGTTGAACTGCTAACCCAATGCTATTATGGTATAATTGCCGTGCTAGTTTAACAATGTTTTCAGTTGACATCACTGTCAAAGCAACCACAGACATAATTCCAAGCACGTGCATTTTGTAACCTAATCTTACTTTACCTATTTGCTATTCTCGTAAAAAAAAAATATTCCATTCTGTCTTAGGTGGGCTAGAAATAGCTTTACAGGTGTAGGAGGGAAACCTTTTTGGATCAACCCAAGTGACTGCGATGCTCAACATATCATCATAGACGACAATATTCGGCTAAATGAAGAGGATACAATTGTCAATTGTCGGGTAGGTTTCAGTAGACCCCTAAAACCTTTTACAGCACTACTTTTACAAGATCAATTAAGTTATTTTGGAAGCAGGAGTATCTTTACTATTAAACCTCTTCATTAATGTTTCTGCTTCCTGATGGACAGGAGCTAAGCTGATTAAGGAGTAATGTCTTCTTCTGTTCACCCTCTTAGCACATCACTGCTGAAAATCTTGTAGTTTATCTTGTGGCATTTGTTTAACTCCTTCGTGACGCTAGATGGAAATTTGCTGTCCTGCTTGGCCTACCGTTAAAGACGCATGCTGGAAAATTTCCATCATTTACGAAAGTTAACCCCAGATTGCAGTGATCGCGGGGTTAACGCTCCTCCAGTCTGCCTCGGTATCCGCGCTGTTCCTGCAGCTATGATCACTCTGATAGGCTGTCAGAGCAAGCACATGTGCTGCACGGACTCCCGGTCCGCTTTCCTGTGCTTCCGTCTCTGGCTGGGGACTCGGATTTTTCAATTTACTCACTCTCCCTGCAGCCTGCAGGCAGTGGAGTCGGCCGGCCTCTCCTGATGTCAGGAGGAGCGGGCGTGACTTCCACTGCTCTTCTCACAGGACTGGCTGCTGGATCCTGTCTCCTGCCCACCCTGGCCTAATGTAAGACTCGGGGGGAGGGGGGAAATACACTTTAGTTTTTTGTTTTTTTTTATTCCCCTCCTTAGCCCTGTCCCCCTTACTCATCCCATGTCCCCCTTCCCTTATCCCCTTCCTCAGCCCTGCCCCCTCTCAGCTCCTGTCTCCCCTCCCCGAGCTCCTGTTTCCCCCTCAGCTCCTGTCCTCCTTACTCAGCCCCATACCATCTCCACCACAGCCCCATAACATATAACTGGTCTCCCCTGATTTCAACCCATATCACCAACACTACAGCCCCTTTCCCGTATTGTAGCCATCAACCTACTTCAGCCCCTATCCCCACCCCACTACATTTCCTAACCCCCAATTACAGCTCATACCCCCCACTACAGCCTCTAGCCCCCTACTACAGCCCTGTCCCCTTACTCAGTCCCTGTCTACTGGCTTTAAAAGTGTAACGTTTGTGTGTGTGTGTGTGTGTATCAATATGTCTGTGTGTGTTTGTGTGTCAGTATGTCTGTCTATGTGTGTGGGTGTGTGTGTGTGTCAGTCAGTATGCCTGTGTGTGTGTGTGTGTGTGTCAGTATGCCTGTAACAGTGTGTCTGTCTATGTATGTGCATGTGCCTGTCAGTGATTGTGTGTTTGTTAGTGTGTGTCAAATCAGCAAGTGTGTGTGTGCCTGTCAGTGAGTGTATCTGTTTAGGTGACTGCCCCCCCTTTCAATCACATGGAATGACAGAGATGCAAATTGCATTTGAACACAAACAGCAAAAAATGCAAAAATGGCTTGTGTCCTAAAGGGTAAGAGAAACGTTTGAAGCTGTGTCCTTAAGGGGTTAATAACCTCCCTGCTATTGCTTTCTATTCTGCTGAATCAAACCACAATTAAATTTTTTTTTCTGCTTTAGATGCTGCTCAGTAAGGAAAATGGGCAAGAATATCGGGCAGTGCCTACGTCGGAAGTGTATGACGTCTGCTTAGTGCAGACAGATCTTCTCAGAGCTATTGCAGAAGAGGGTTATTTTCTCGACTGTGTGAGAAAATGTGAAGAAAATTATGAGCATTATCTCTCTACACTCCAAGATGAATAGACGCGATTAAATGCTACATGGATTGTTTACTGAATACTTGTAGGACTGTTACTAGAAATGCACACATAGAATATAGCACTATATGTGGTGAGTTGACAGTTGAATTGCAAAATTTAGGTTCGACTCATGGAGTCTATTTTTGCCTACATTTTGCATTTTTTAGCCAATTCACCACTACTTATAAGTTAAAATGTTACTCCAAGCCCCATAACCACATCAGTGCTTTAAAGTTATCATGGTGCAAGTAGCCTGTATATCCAGCATTTCAGTATGAAATACCATCGATGGTTTGTTCCATTACCCTGAACAGCACCAGAGCACTCCTAACATCATAGCAGACAGCAGTGGTTATGGTTCTTAAAGTAACCCTTTAACACTTTGGAGTTCTACAGAAGCAAGCACTGAATAGTTTTGCGTTGCAAGTTTCTCTATATTGTTTACAGTTCTCCAATAGTTAGAACGCTGCTTCACTGTGAAGGTTTGCACTTCATTAAATGTTACAAAGTGGATTAATGTAACTCGATATCCCTGGAGGACAGTGATAATGCATTTTGCCTACTAACCTCTGTACAGAGACTGGTACTCCCGTCACTCTTGGTAAGGCTTGTCTGGCTGACAATGTTGGGAGTTGCATTCTGCAACATATTAAGTGTACTCTACTGAGCCATTGCAAGCGTGTCAGTTTGACAGATGGGCTTCTGCACCATAAATGCCCCTGTTAGTGATGTCCTGAACGGTTCGCCGAACGGTTCGCCGCGGACGGCGAACATAAACATAAACTTTGACCCTGTACCTCACAGTCAGCAGACACATTCCAGCCAATCAGCAGCAGACCCTCCCTCCCAGACCTTCCTGGACAGCTCACTAAGAATGCAGCTTCACAATGAATGTAAAATGGATGCTGTCCAGGAGGTGGGAGGGAGGGTCTGCTGCTGATTGGCTGGAATGTGTCTGCTGACTGTGAGGTACAGGGTCAAAGTTTATGTTTATGTTCGCCGTCCGCGGCGAACCGTTCGGCACATCACTAGCCCCTGTCTCTACATCAGGAGGGCACGTGCTTCATTCATAGAATCAATTTACATTTTCAAGAATTCCAGATATAAATGTGAGCAATCTATGAACAAAACATAGGCCAATTTGTAGAGCTTGCATTTTAATTCCACTATAGAGTATTTATGAATGATGATGTAAAATATCCAGTGTTTTATCCAGTATAATTACAATAATGATCAGAATTCAGAATGTAGAACATTAGCAGGCTTTTTAGTCTGTTATCAGCACTGAAATCTTTTGAATGTAGTAAATGAAATTGTGTTCTTAAATTAAATTGGTTCAAAAAGAGAATGTGTACATTTATGGTTTTAGTGGGGAATCAGCTCTACCCACCTGTGTGTTTTGTATAACATAGTTCATGTGTATAATGACTTCATAACAATGACACTCCACAGGCCATTACATATGTGAAATTTTACACTGCGCTAAAAGTTAATATATAACTAGAACTATTTCAGTTTAATAACCTTTTAAATTTGACACACACATTCCTAGTTTAATTTGCTCGGGAGCTCTGTACCGCCTACACAATCAATATTTAGTGAGCTCACGGCTAGCAGGAGAGTTGTTTCCTTTGTGGAACAGATCTATTTTCTTCTTCCTCTCTGGCAAGTATATAATAAAAAGAAAAATGTGAGAGAATGCATTAGAGAAAAAGCTATGGTTTAGGGGGCACAGATCTTCGGTAAGGTCATCAGAGAATCCACTCCTTAATTCTGTCACACTAGTAACGTATATAACAGGTGTGGCATTGTATGGTGCCAGTAGTAAGGTTGAAGGATACCTCTAATTAATCTTATTTATGTAACATCTCCATGTGTTTTCACTTGATTTATCCAATAGGCTTGGGCCCACTGGTTATTTCTGTTTGCCTCAACACCTTCAGACAAGCCGGTGTTAAATACCCTTCTGTACAACGCAACAAGTAATTTTTTCAGTGTAAAATCTGCTACCGTTCCTCTTACTTAAAAAGAATGGACCGTCAACCACATATAAAACTAAAAACATGCAGCTTTATTCACCCCTTGGGGATTTTTAAAATAGAATCAAATGTTCCAGCCTCTGACACACTGCCAGGTACAAGCAGAGACGATCTCCAGACTCTCACAGTCTACATGTTTCGTAATAAACTTTACTAAGAGTGAGTTTCGCTTTTTAACAAAACCTATTAGTTGCACCTGATGCTATAAAAAAAAATAAAACATCTTCCATACTTCTCTGGCTCAAATACAATAGCATTATTGGATTTTACGTCTCCCATCCTTCCAGGATGTTACCTTTGCCTGTTACAAGCTGTTATTCCAAAGTTAATTCAGATGAATAATTTCACTGTCAGGAAAATTAGATTTTTTTCCTCCATTTAGAGCTGCTAGCTATATAAGTCAGTTTTGTTTATTTGAGCATCATGGAGCAGATGGTTTACAGGCATTCACACTGAGCTTTTAAAACCTTTTTTGACAGAAAGGTCAGAAAAATCGATAATGTGGGAGATAAACAGAGTTCCGAAGATATAATTTACAGAGGCAGCATTGGAGCCTGGAAGCCATCTCTGATAAATACATATAACGATTCTCTGATGAGCCTTAATAAACAATGGAGGTTATTTATAAAGAGCAATTTTGGACTAAGTTCTAAGTAGAGCAGTCACCTTAGAAACCAATGAAATGATGTTTGCTGCTCTGCTTTGTTCTGTAATTGATTGTTATAAATAACCCTACATATGTTGCAGCCAATTGACATGTATCTCCTCCATTTCTGACAGTGATAAATTAATATTTTTGTGCAGAATGCCAGGGATGTGATAATGCAAAGCAACAGTTTTTGTATGAAGTGGACAACTCTATAATTGTACACTTTGGATTCAACTGGAATTTGTTTCCTGAAATAGCTGTCCTCCCACACTGAGGATGCAGGTGAGGTGATGCCTATGTATGTAAAAGCACAATTCTCATCACAAAACTACTTTGTATTTCTGGTAATGTAAGTGGGTGCAACTAATTCATAGTAAGATTATAAAATATCTAATCACTGCATTATTCCTACTATGTTCATATTACCAGACTAAGGGAGCTGTAGATGTGGTGTGGGCAAGTATAGACAACTCTCAATTCTCTTACAACCAAACATACAAAGACCTCCAATTTAGATACAGGTTATGGAAGTGATACCTTCTATAGATGGTGACAAACTAGAAACTTCAGTAGGTATGTTCCATTTGTAGAGTACAATATTGAGCCATTCTTGGTCTGGTGGACTGAGGCCAGTCTATTCAAGGAAGTACCAGAACCTGAAAATAGCTACAATTTCCCAGAACAATCCTCATCAGCTCACTTAGGGAATCAACAATACAAGACTGTAGGGTGCGCCAGGGGGTAAGGGGTGATGTAATACTAAATAAAACAACTGAAGTAAAACAGATAATGCATGGTCAATAAAATGGTATAAAATCAGTAATATATAAAAGCAAACAAGCCAACAAAGTTAATAATGAAGTATTATCTCCAGGTGAGTATATCTTCCAGTTAGTTGAGGTCCAGGGACATAAAAGAGTTCCAATAGTGCAATATGTTTCAAAAGTATAAAGGCTAGGGTAAAAGAAAATCCAAATGGCCTACTCACATGGAATAGAGCTTAAAACCAGCTCTAGTGTGAAGCGTTTGCAGTGGTATTATTCCCCACTTCAGGGATATGATAGGAGGTATAGGCCAAAGTGTATCTTTTCAGCAGGGTATGTGGAAATAATGCTTTGTGAGGTACTCACTGGAAAGATAAAAACTTGATGCCAGGTAAAAAAAGGAAAGATATATGGTACTAATATTGGTAGTAAGAGATACCAAAAACCTTTATTAAGACAATAAAAATGTAACATTAAATCCACATACTATAACTTAGGGAATCCCCTACTCTGGAGTGTGCTAACCATAAGATCATTCTTAAATAGGTCACTTAATCCAGGTTTATGTAAAGACTTATCTTTCATATAATTTAAATGTTTATTTTAAGCAGACCAACTGGTTCACTGGTGGAAGTTTGAAAGCCATATGCAGGGAATACGCATCCTGAAAGCTGACAAGAACAGACTTCTGGCAACACATACTACTCATGACCAGTTAATGTCTACACTTGTAGCAGCCAATTCAAAGTATTGTATTACAGCAATAAGCCAGAAATGTTCAGATCCATGGGATTCGGAACAGGTAGTCATAAAGGCCCTGGCTGCATATATAAGGAATCTGATGAAGACTTGTAACACGTCACTTCATACTCAAGACCCACAGTCGAGACAGAATATTCAGATTCTGAAAGGACAGAGCCCCTTCATCAAATACCATAAGTGACATGATACTGCAAATGTGTTCCCTCTCTAACACAACGGACACACCGACCAATGTCTTTCCATCACTCACCTTCTGTGAGCTAGTTTTTAAAATGCTACAGTGAAGATTAGGTTATACAGTACCATATGGCATCCGGTCAGTGGCTCATTACCTCTTAGAGACACCAGTCGTGCCATTTACCCTCACCAGTTAAACTCTTAACTTGGCCTTAGACCTCAGCAGATCTAACAGGCATCATCTTTGGTCACACCTACAATGAAATCACTAAAACTGGCAGTGCTTCTTGAGTCTTCTGACCAAGTTCTGTAAGGCGTTATGCATCAGTGTGTGTCACCATCTACGTACATGACTAATGTACTCTATTTCTGCTTAGTAGTAATGCTTTGTTTTCCATTTAATCTATTTCTTTTTATGTGGCTGTTAAGAGCTTGAAACACTAGAACCATAACTTAAATTTAATTAATTTACTTTATGTATATCTATTGGATAAACAGCAGCACAGATGTAAATTAGTGAGGACCTTCCTACGCTACACTACAATTATCAAAAGGAGAAGACTAGTTGAAAGGTTACTTATGGCCCTTTTGGTTTTATAGCCCTAATGCAAAGAAGGATCCTTTAACAAACATTAGACAAAGTAACCCTCCCTCCTAACTAAACACTAGCCATGTAGCCTGAATCTGCTGCATTCATTAATAGGACCATTGGGCAAGGCACCAAGGGAATGCTTAGTCGCATATGTGTCTTGTAGTACAGAATGGCTACGTGACATATTTAACAATTTCTGGAATTCTTGCTGTTATACTGTTTCTACAAGATAAGGGAGGATAAAACCATTGATACAGTAGCCAGATGAATTGCTGAGCATCTTTGAAAAGGTCACTTACACATTGATGAAAGACAAAGGTTATCTACTGGTCAACACCCAAACTCAGGACATGGATTGGAACATCGGATATTAGATTGTGTCTGGTTGTTAAATGTCGATTTTACTGTAATGCTATATGGGGAGATTGTTAATCACCTACTAGGAATAAATCAAATCCTTTCATTTTAAATCCTTTTCAGTTTATTGCTCATTACTTTAAAGTGTTAACCATCAGTCCATAATTTCAGTTCCAGCAGTTTGTCGCTTGGCTGGTTTTTGCAGGTACATGACAGTTGTGTACCTTGTTTTGCTGCCCTGAAGATGCACTTGGCTATCCTCCTGGGAGATTTATTTGTGCGTCTCGTCTAGCTGATATTCTCTCTCTTAAATGTAAATTTCAGTTATTCCCCTGACAGTTTTTAATTGCAGGTATCCTTTAGTGGAATTTACAGAGAATGTGAGAAGCTGGCCTTTATCTTTATTTATATTTGTGATTAGCCCCATGCATTTGATAAAAAATGCATTAAAATGCCAAAATGAAAAAAAAAATTTTTTTAAAAAGACTTACCCTTAAAGACCTTAAAGTTTGTGAATTTGCTGCTCTTGCAAACGCAAGATATACAGCAGTCAGACAACCAGAAAATATCCTCATTCTGGTTTACGGTAGATTCAGCTTGAGTTTATGGGATAAGTATTAGTTGAGCCCCCCATTCGCTGTTTCCCTAGTCCGCTGGTTTCCAAACCAGCCCTCAAGACACACCTACCAGTCCTGGATTTAGGGATTACCCAGTTGTGTCCAAGGTGTGTTAGGAAGAAATAAAGAAAAACAACTTGACATCAGGCCCGGACTAGCCATCGGGCCCACCAGGCAGCCACGTTGCTGCCGGCCCATACAGAGTCAGCCTTATTGTGGGCTGTCTCGGACCGGTGTGGAGATCAAAGATCTCCCTCACCAGCCCCCTGGCAATCCGTTTCAGGAGTGGGAGGGAGGAAGTACCTGGGAGGTTGTAAGTACCTCCTGCAAGCAGGCTGTCCAGGCGCGTTACCATGGCAATGCTTCGATTCAGCACTGTGCTCTCAGGAGGACAAGAGAGTCAGCCTGCCACCAGAGGAACTACTGACTAAAGTGCACGCACCGCCACTGGACCACCAGGGCTTGCAGTGTTATGTCCTCGCTCCCTGGCTGTAGAGCTTTTCTAAAAATAAAAATAGTTTTAAAAATACATTTCCTCTTTAGCAGGGCTCTGTGCATGGTAGCCGTGGATGAGCATTGAACCAACATGCTCACTTTGAGGGGTGTGTGCTTGTCATTGATGGTGATAGAACACTGACTTTCTGGCCCTGCCCCCTTTCCACTGGGCCAATGTGATTAAAAAATGCCCTGCAATATTTTCCCCAATCCGGTCCTGCTTGACACAACTGGGTAATCCCTAAATACTGGACAGGGTTTGGAAACCACTGCCCTAGTCATGGAATGTATAGAGCTGTTCAACATATGGATAGCACGCATACTGCTGCTGCTATCAGTTACACAGGGGTTTTATTATTATTTTATTATTTATATAGCACCATCACATTCTGTAGTGCTGTACAATGGATGGACTAACAGACATGTAATTTTAACCAGACAATTGGACGTACAGGG